GGTAAGTGAATAACTGTTTTTATATATATATAGAGGCTATGGCAGATATTTGTAAATCTATGTATAGTCTTTGTTCTTTACTTTTCTCTTTAGTTTTCTCTTCTTAAAATGGATATTTACTCATGTGTTTTGCTGACATTATTAGATAATTTTCATTTACCATAGCTAATGAATATTATCTGCAATCATGTTGAATGTTTTTAGTAAGAAAAAGTGGAAACATGATTCTAATAAGAAAAACTAGAAACTTATACATTACTGAAAAAGCATGTTGGCAGACAAAGGGCTAAGTTTCTGCAGGAGCACATGAAAGCAGTTGGAGCACTTCTTCCTGTAAAATTCATGTGCTGGGTCACTCAGTCTTAAGTGCTTCTCCAGGGGATTAAGATAGCTCAGAACTTTCAAAACATGCTGAGTGAATGCCATCCCTTCCTTGGCCCCAAATAACAGCAGCATCTCTGGCCAGGGTGGTACTTTTCTGAGTGCCTTGTGGGAGAGGACACCCAGGCAGCAGAGATTTCTTGAAGGGGTTTGATCAGAATGTGTGGCCAGGCAGCCCCAGAAGGGATGCTTCCCTGCTCTCTAGGATCACGTGCCAATTCCCCATTCTTTGTGGTGTTTGCTCCATGCCCACCTCTCCCTGCAACTCAGCCTCAGCTCAAGTCCAAGTCAAGCCTTGGGGAGTGGTAGCAGGGCAGGCTGGGGTCAAGTGATGCTCCTCTGCATGCCATAATGGTGTGTGTCTGCCTTGTGGCAATGGCTTCCCTTTCTAGAATAGCAGAAACAATATATGAACTACTTTTTTTTTTTTTTTTTTTGATCCTTTGACCTTTACTGTAATGCAATTTGTAACACTTATTAAATTATGACATAAGAACTGCAAGGTGCAACTCTGCATCTGCTGGGGATTTTCACCAGTGTGAGAGGGGTTTCTTCTTCTGCAGCATGTGGTACTTTCAGCCCTTCACCTCTGAAGAAGGTTGGGACATCTAGGCATCCCGTGAGATGGGTCCCCCCCTCATAGCACAGGACCTTGTTTCTTTCACTGCCAAAATCAACAAGCTTGTCGGGCAATTCTTGTGTGGGACATCTGCAGCAGCAGATCTGGCTCTTGTTTTCCACATCTCACCCTCACAGGGTTAGCAGCTTTCCACAACTTAGTAGTTGCTTGCACAGCTCTGTTCTGCCACAAAATGGATCTGGTTTTAAATTTAAAAGTGACATATATTTTTCTTTCTCCTTCTCCTCTTATAGATAATTTCCCACTCCCTTCATATTTCTGTTTCAATGTTGCACTGATGCCTTTTCCTTGGTACTAAAATTAAGAGCCAGACATGGTTAAGGGATACAGGGTTTTTACTTTGGTATTGAATAAGGATTTTTATGGTGTGACACTCCTCCAAGGTGGAATACTCAGAAATGCACACACACGGTAGGTAGATCTCATATACAACTTTATAGACCTTGTAAATTAGCATATCTAACAAAGATGGTCTAATGAGAGACTTGAATGAATAGCATGATATCTCCTTGTCCTGAAGTATTCGCACTATGGGCCTAATCCTAGCTTACACAGGATGTATTCTAGAGGAGACCTAGATTTCTCAAGATAGTGTAGGATTTCTGGCCTCCAACTGTGAGTCCTTGAGGATGTTTGGTCTTGTGGCCCAACAGAATACCAGGACTATGTTAAGTTATCAGACTTAAAGAATTACAAGTATGCATGCTAAGGACACTGACAATAATAAAAGCTATATAAAAGAAAAGACAAAAAATTATTGTGGCATCAGCACTGGTATTACTTGATCTGATTCACTAAGTTTAGAAAAAAAAAGTAGTAAAAATATATGTTAATTAATGGACAGGAATAGATAAGAATTTTGAGAGCAGTCATAAGAAACTGGCAAGAAAAAAAATTGTGTCTAGGGTCTGGGTATCATAGGAGGCCACCATATATTCAAAAACTCTTTTAGCAAGGTCTGGATAATGCCAAAGCAGTGGAAGCAGCTACCACTCCTGGTGAGATGACACAGTCTTTGAGAAAATAAGATCCAGGGATAAACACAGTCTCTTGGGAAGCTGTTGGAGAGGCTCCAGTAAAGTTCGGCATCACTGGCTTCTGGAGGGAGGGTGTTAAGTATGCCAATAAAGGAGGTCATGTGAGCAAAATAATCCTCTTGCACATACAAAAAGCTTTGAGAAGCTTTTTGCAAAGCTTATTAAACTTTGTAAAGAAAATAAGTTTCCACAAGATTGGATGAGAGGTTGGTTTTGGAGTTGAAAGCTGGTATAAGAAGAGGAAGTGAGGGACAGGGCTTAGTGGTCTCTCTCCAGGAAGGAGGAGATTTATGCAGCCAGGGGATAATTCAGGTCAGAAGGGACCTCTGGAGGCCATCTAACTGAGCCTCCTCTCCGAACATGTCTAAAGGGCTAAGGTTATGCAAGGACTTCTTTAGTGAAATTTGAATATGTCCAAGGATAGCCATTCCACAATTTGACGCGAAAGCCTTAGAATTTGAGCTGTTTTTTCTTGATGCCTCTATCTGTGACCTCTACAAAGCAGTGAAACCTGTTGGGCTGGAGAGGTATTGGGCTCTGGTTGTAAGTGCCTGTGCCACCCCTGAAACAGACTTGAATGTGCAGGGTGGGGTAGAACTTGGTGGTCCTTAAGGTCCTTTTCAAATCAAACCATTCTGTGATTTATGTGTGAAAAATTAAAAAAAAAAAAAAAAATTAGCTTCCAAGTTTGAACAACACTACATGATTTTTCTGGCATAGTTATGCTGAGAAATACTACTGGTCCTGAGCACTGTCCTTCCATTCATTTCCCATACACACACACAGATGTCTTTTGTTAGTGGGGATGTGGCAGATGGCTACAACAGAAAACTTTATTTTTGTTTGCTGGTGCTTTGTCCGAGCAGATCTTGGCTGGCAGATCCTGCAGCAGCCATGTCTACTCTGGACAAGCACCAGTAAAACCAAGCCTATTGCAGGATTTTTTTTTTTTCCCCAATATTAGGAGGAAACAGGTCTATACAGCAAAGTGTATTAGTGTTACTTGGAATTATATTCTATCTTTGAAAAAAAAAAAACAAAACTGGAAATTTACCTGTTCTAGAGCAACACATTTTCTCTTGTACCTAAAGCTGACTACACCAGCAGCAGCAGCAGCAGCAGCAGGAGCTTTGTTCAGTGTGCAATTCAGCTAATAAGCAGGTTTGGCAATGACTTTGACTTCAAGTACATTAAATCTCCTCACTGTTCTGAAAATATAGGCTAGAAAATTCTGCATGGATCAATGCAAGTAAGGCTACAGATTCCACTAGGGAAAAATCCTCCTCCTTGACTTGCTTGCACTTTTCTCCTTGCACTAGCAAATATCATACGCCTTTGTCATTAACAACTGTGTATTTGTTTTCAGTGCTTTATCTGAGGTACTCACCAGAAAGCTACAACAAAAATGGTTTGAAAAAAAAAGTTCCAGTGCAAACTACACAAGACCGAATACGTAATTGTTTCCTGGACCTTGTCAAAGACTCCCTTCTCTGCAGTTTAGTCTTTGTCAGCAACAATGGCAAATGTCTGCTGGATGGAAGGTTTGCTATCACAGGAGGGTATTCAGCTTTCTGATTGCCAAAGAGAACAGTCAAGCAATCCTCTGTAATCCTCTCAGTTAAACAATCTTTTACTGCTTTCCCTTGCACTGACCATGTAACTTGTAGATTGCATCTAGGGTGGGGGTGCCAAGCAACTTCCCTATTTGCGGTATTTATTATCCTGCCAAAATTAACTCGTTTCCTTTCCTGTTTTGTTTTGTTTGTTTATTTGAAATGCATTGCACAGCCCCTGAGCAATGCAAGCAAAACCAGGTTATGGACCTACTTTGACAGGAGAACAGACAGCATTCTCCAATTTTAATGCTTGCTTTTTAAATATTGTTTTCAGGCATCTGATTGCTGAAAAACTGTTATTAAAACAGTTCCATGTATTTTAGTATGCAAGCTTTAAGTGCTGTTCCTCAGCTGAGATGTATCTTGCATCCACCATCTGCACACTTTGCCAAAGCTGATACTTCTGTCAGTCCTAAGTAGTTTACTGTGTGGCTGAAAGAAGTGAGAGGAAAACAAAAATGTTTTCTGTGACCCTCCATCTCAGTTGGTACTCCTACCCGTGTCACCCCTGGGCAGGACTAGGTCTGCAGCAATGGATAAGCTATGTTAATTGGAGTTTGGGTTAATTGGGTCACTCCTCATTAGTACTGCCTTATTTACCAGTTCAGTTTTTCTTGGTATTACAACTATCTATATATGTGTCCACATCTGCACATGTGGGTGTGTTGCATTTATAATATGCATGCATGTATTTTAAACATATGCTTACATGAATCTGTGTATGCATATTTATGTCTGTATATGCATGTGCACATTTATTTATGTATTTAACTATCTATGCATTTAGTTATACCAGGTCAGGCTCATTAGTGATGTGAAGAATTTTTCTCCCAAAGGTTTCCTCATTTTCAATAGGTAGATTGCTACAAGCATAAATTTAAGAATTCCAAGGGTTCTTCAATGACCTTTAAAAAGTACACAAATAGTCATGTTTGAAAAATGTTGAATGCTCTGTTGACTCACATCATCATGTACCCAGGGTTTGGACACCACTGAGACTTTGGATATGGACAGTGGTACATCACAGTCAGAGGATCATCTAGGGAAAAACCAGTGGTTTACTGTGATACTTTTTAAAACTTACCTATGAAATATGCATTCTAACTATTTTCCAGGGTGAAATAAAACCACAACTCCCACTTGTCATTTGTCTTTTAGTTTTCTAGAGCAAAGCTAGATTGAAAAGCAGAAGCTAGGATGGGATAAAATATGCAAAAACAATCAGATTAGGAAATTATCTGTTGTTTTGTTCTTTGGGTTTTTTCTTTTTCAGTAGTCCCTGTAGAATTTATAATGAAAGTAAAAATAATAAATTAGCATTCATTAGCAGGTAATAATACTTTTTTTATTAAAATAGTCTTGCCATTCAGTAATATATCGGTATAAAACTTTGTTAGTTACATCAAATGGCATCTCCTAAATTTGCAAATAGTGGAATAGTACTTTTCTCGAACTATGGATTGTTGCAAGCAAAGCTCTATTCATTATTCTGTTGATAATCGTATCAAGTCCTGTTTTGAATGAGTTCTTGCCCGTGGGATTAACAACAGCATGTGTTCACATAACACAGAGTATTGTGTACCATCTAGTATGCCTAAAATATTTTTAATCTTTTTTTTATTATTTTAGTGCATACAGTGGTATGTGACAGCAATAGTATTTTTAGAATGGATTTGGTATATTTCCTGTGTAACTTCTGTAGGTGACCCTGCGTTGGTTGTTGGGCTAGGTGATCTTCAGAGGACCCTTGCAACTTAAACCATTCTGTGATTTGTGTTTGTTTTACTATAATGGAAGAGCATCCTTCTGGAAAACTCTGCTTTAACCATCACATGAATACTAAAAGGCATGCGTGGCATTTTAGAAATTGTATTACTAATCAGCCTACTATTGAAAAGATAGATATTATTTAAATAGTAATTAAAAAAAAAAGTTTAAATACTTTAAAAGAGGAAGTTTACACTGTTCTCTCCTTTGTTTGCGGCAGTCCCAGGTGCCTCCCCTGGTGCAGAGAAGCGGTGGCACTGTCCCCTGCTGGGCGGATGTTGGTCCTGTTCATGCAGGGGGGGCAGCAGAAGGCGTGCGGGGTGGGACACGGCTCTGCCCCAGCGCCTTTCCCTGCCCCTGCTCACCTGGCTGTACCTGCCCTCGGGACGTCACGTCGCTCTGCCCATAGCGTCTGCGGGGCTGCCTGACGTCAGGATGCGATGGCCGCGACCGCCCGGCCGGACGCGACATCGCCTTCCCCGACAGCGCCGGACCGCCTCGGCCACCGCAGCCTGCGGTGCTGCTCATACTGCTGCTGCAGATCCCGATCCTGCTGCAGATCCCGATCCTGCTTTTGCCGCTGCTGCTGATCCTGCTGCTTCTGCTGCTGCGGCTCCGGCGTGCGGCTGCAGTCCATCGCCCGGAGCAGCCAGCACCGAGTTATCCAGCCTGGCCACAGCCGGGGGAATGTGGCCGGAGTCCCCGCGGTCACCGCAGCGAGGCTGAGCCTGGACACCGAAGCTAAACAAGCCAAACTCGCTGGAGATTTGCAATGCCAGCAGCCTTTCCAGGTTTCTTTTCCGCTTTGCTCCCACCCTGCTGTTGGATTTGAAATCATGTATGTGTTTTGCTGTTGATTACAGGAGGGTGTTAAAATGTAGGGAGGGAAAAGGATTCAGAAGGATTAATATGTTAGTTTTGATTTTATTTTCTTTCCCCTTATCCCTCCCCTTCATCTTTGTTAACACAACTTTGTCTTTATTATTTTTATTTTAGGTCGGTTAATATTGTAGCTTTTGGGAATGAAAGAGATGGTTTTTCTGAGGACAATCAGCAGCCCAGTCTCATCTGGAGCTATCTCGGAAGAAGTGCTCTCATTTCCCAGATCGACAGCAGCTTATCTGCCAGTCACGTTGGAAACCCAGTTTTTACTGAGTATCAAGCCTGCGTATTTGGAAATGTCAGACTGGTGGTACACGACTATCCTGTCTGGGTAAAAGATCCATCTCACTCTTTTTAACTACACTTAAAAGTGTGAGCTGTTTTAGTAAAATGAAACCATATCCTAATTTTAAATGGTTCTCATTGTTGTGGGATTTTATTTGTAGTTTTATTATTGCATTTAGTAATAAACCTTTAAAAATGTAACCAGGCAAATGCTGGGAAATCTCAAAGGTGTTATAAGAAGGTTCTCATAAACAAACCTCTGCTGGGCCTTCTCTGTAAGAAGGTGTTTTTTTCATCTTCTTGCTTAGTGGAAATGTTGTGAAAGATAATCTAGAGGTAAACAAGAATGCCTTCTTTGTGACACTGCATCATAAACTCTCTCTCCAAATATTTGTCAACAAGAAAATGAAATTTTATTTTTCTGTAAAAAAAAAGGCAGTAAGTTTTCCAGCTGTGAAAAATGACAGATTAAAAGATCTGATAGGTTGCAAAATACCATGTAGGGAGTAATTTTACTCCTCTTACAAAGAATACTCACGTATTAACATTATTACCTTTATCTGATGGTAAATAAAAAAGATTCTGGCACTGTTGCAAGTTGTTGGCACTTGTGTTAATAAGTGAGAAAACTTACTTTTATAAGTAAGTTTGGAGTGTGAGCAGATCAATGATTATGTAAGAAATTATACTGATAATCTAAATTAAAACATATTTAATGACTACTTAGTAGACTTAAAAAAAAACCCTCAGCTTACCAGCTTTTAGAAATTAAAACAATAATCAGTTTCAGCTCCATAATTCTATCCTTTGAGTGATTTTTCTACTCCTGTAAGGGAAGCCTTTTGTAGAATCTGCAGGAGCCATAACAGCTCCATGAAATTATCAGAAGCCAGCAATCTTAAAATGAAACAATCCAGTTTAGCTGTCCTTCTGCTCTTTATTTCTTTTTCACCAGAATGGACTGGGGATCCTGTTTCTAATCTGTGAAGCTGCATGTGACCTACACGCGCAGTTTGCTGGAGTCACTGGAGCGCAGCAAAGAGTAAAATCTCCTGAATATAAATGAAGTCTGTAGGGCTTCAAAGGCTGTTTCAGAGGGATGGAAGGAGGTGGGTGAGGCAGTGGGGGTAGCTGGAGAAGGAGAAGCAAGGACATAGACTGGAGACAGAATTGATGTGTTTTTACATTGCTTTAATTGCATTTGACTTTCTGCAGAACAAGGTTGTTCAGTTCTGAAGACCTTATAACTTCTGCCCTTCAAAAATTAGCTTGTTATTATCTGAGTTATTGCATTTCTGAGGCCTCCAGTTTTTTCCCCTCTATCAGCTAAAGGAGGCAGGATATACATTACTGAGAATGTTGAGGACAAATTAGCATTTTTCTCTTCATGGAAGACATGTCAGATAGCAGGACTCTGCAGCAGATTGTCATGCATAAAGCAGTGTCCTTGCTAGGATAAGGCAGAGCAGGACCATTTCCGGCAGCCTGGGTGCTTGAGATTCACTATGTCACAGTGGCTCATTCAGGGCTGCTAGCCTGGAGAAACAGCACAGAACAATTCAAAAGGTTGACAAATGTTGCCTCAAGCCATATTCTGCATAGAATAAGGATTGCTGTTTCATGTTACCAAAGCACAGAGGTGGTGGTATGGGGGGCCTTGCAGTATTTCACCATCTGAGCACAAGGCAGATTTGCATTTTACCTGGGATTTGTACCTCATCTAGATTAAATGCATATTATCAAGACAAGAGGGTCCTAGATATGAACTTGGCAGCTGAATACACTGATAGCTGTGAGTCTCAAAACTCAAGGGTGCCCAGCTGCTCTTTGTCCTCCACAGCCATCAGTCTGGAAAAGCAGTGTTGATGTGGTTTTACTGAGTACAGCTCCACAGTGAGTGGGGGGATCCTTTTGCATGGTAGATTGTGGTGCAGTTTAATTTTCTTCAGTTTTAGTCTGCGCCTGTCTGTCAGCCCAGGACACTGCTCAGCCTTCTGAGTCTGCAGAAGGGTCAGCAAGACAGGTGTCTTTGGGAAATTACAAAGATAAATTCATGATTGCCAGCATGCAAACTAGCATGTTGTGAGGAGCTCTCCTTCCCCTGGCAGTTGCATGGTGCAGGATGGAAATGCTGACTTTGGGGACCTTATAATATCACAGAGCTGTAGAGACAGCAGTGGAACACCACACTTTTCAAAATCTGAGGGCAAAATGTCAGAGTTTCCAAGGACAGATTGCTTTTTTAGAGTGAAGTGCTCAGTAGACAGTGTGCCACTCTCTGGGTGTACCAGTGTGTCTTGCTCTGGCAGAGCTGTGTGCTGTGCGCAGGGGGCAGGCTCACAATGCACCAACATTGTTGCAAATCACCTGGCCTCAAAACGTTTTCTCAAAAATGTAAACCTAGGGTAGAGAAGTCATCAGGAACTAGGGAACTAGGGAAGACACATGTGTGCTAACATGTCTGCTAAATATTGTGGTTTTAACAGCTGATCAGCTGCTAATGCATGCTTAAGCTGCTCTATAATAAGGCATATTGAGAATGTCCCAGTTTTTCTAATTTTGGGAGGTAAACCTCTGTATGGAGTGAGTAACTCATAAGGAGAAATTTGCAATATTAATTTTAAGACTAGCTTTGAAAAAGACTGCTTTAATTGACAATCTGTGTTAGATTTGACAGTCTTCAGGTCTGACATGCCATTTTGTTGACTTGCCTGTATTTTACAATTCCACTTGACCCTAAATTTTTTATGCTTCTGCAGAAAAAATGCAGACAGAATTTTCAATATCTAATGGCAAGTGAATCTTCCTCAAGTCCAGAATTAAGCATAGCATAGAAGCCATAATTCATGTTTTGATTCATTTAATTACAGTGCTAGAAATTAAATGGCAAAATAAAAAGTCCTTTGTAAGTGTTCCCTACTTGAAGTAACTCTTGTTCTCCCCTCTCTTACTTGGAGCAATCCCCTTAGGATATGAGAGTGTTTCTGTCCTAGCCTGGGGGTCTTATTGCCCTTTTTAACTTTTTCTACTAAGACCCACATGGTTTTGTTTGTTTGTTTCAGTTTTTTGGCTTTTGTTTGGTTTGTTTGGGTTTATTTTCCCCTATGAGAAATAATACCCCCTGAATTTTTTTAGCTTTCCCCTATTTTATAAAAACTGCTCAGTTTCTAGAGAATTACTGACATCATCAAGTACAGAAATGTTACAAAAGGAGAATATAGAGCAACTAGGTTTTGGAGATTGCCTTATACTGGATGAGATACTTGAAGAAGGGTGGATGCTCTGCTGTCTGTTCAGAGCCCTTGCACAGAGCTGCAGACCTTCATGAGGTTCACTAGTACACAAATATATTAACTGCAACTTAAATATATTAAACTACAATTTTAAGAAACTGTTCTGTGAATTTTTTAATTCTCCCTTACAACAATCTCTTTCCCTGAATATTTTTGGGGTTTTTTTCCTTGTTATTTACTGTACCAACAGGAGTAGTCCCTCAAACACTGAGTTTTCTTATGTCGCCGATATCACCCATAGTGTTGTTCTCTGGATTTTTCCTCTTTATCATAAATCTTGTCCTCCTTGTGCTGCCAAGGCTGGCCAGCCTTTATCATGTCTAAAGGTACAGGAATCTGAGCCACTTTTAGATTTTATTTGCTATTTTTAGAAATCTAGACATATCACTGCTTCAGTAAAAAATGACAGCTAATAACTTTTCATTTTTCAGTATGTCATCCCTTCTCATTTTTAAGTTTGAATGCCTGAAGTGGCAATTTACAACAAATGATCATATCCTGGTAAAAAATTAAATTCATTTATGAGAGGATGATAAAGACCAATATGAGCTTACTTTGTTTCATGAGGGGGATGTTCAGGAGGGTTTCTGAAGGGCACACTTCCATCTGTGCTGAAGATTACTTATCTGAGTAAGTTCAGGGGCCTAGTAAGTTATGGAGAGTACACCCAAAAAATTTGCCCTGCTGCAGACTGATAAGAAATTGCAGAGGAATCTTTAAAAAAACGAGGAAGGTTCTTGTATGTGGTGTGGAAAACATCAGTGTGAAGAAGGTTTTGGTAAGGGAGACAGGTCTGTAAATGGATCAAAGAGATATAATATTGCTGGGTGGGGGGTTATGTATGAATTACGAATGGGACAGGACTGTTGAGGAACGTGTCTCGAGCTGTTTATTTTTTAGCATTAGTCTCATTACATGGTTATGACAATGGGAAGATGCCAGTAGCTCACATCTTAGGCAGCAGACTAAGAACTTCATGTTACAATTTACTTTAAAAGCTTTTTGACTAATCACACAAAGCAAAATCATAATGACAGTAGTTTTACCTAACCACCATAAGTACACATACCTTTGGTTAAAACAATACTTGCTTGTTTCAAGTACAATACTTGTTTGTAAGCCTTAAGATACAATGCACAGAGCTCCATTATTAAGCTTAATACTTCTTAATATCTCACTGGATATACTTTTTTGCAACTTAGGGAGTTATTCTACCCAAGCGTTAATACACAGACCATTTTTCTATTTGTCCTTTCTTCCTATGCCTTATATAATTTTTCTTCTGACAAATCTTATAGCTACTGCTTAGCTCTAAATCACCATCCTGCTGTCTCTGTGGCCTGCCTTTTGCAACATGCCCAAACACTCTGATTTTAAGGAATCCCACAGGATAACTCTCCAATGTTCCCAATGCAGTTCTCTTGGATCCTGGGGAAATCCCTGGGGAACATTCCTACGGGGTGTCCAGGCACCATTTTCCCCACAAAGTAGTTGGCATTGCTGCTGCCTCAGACCCGGGGCTGGGATGGTTGGACATGGGGACACTTATGAGCAGCTTTCAGAAAGAGTGTGGGCATTGCAAGGGCACTTGTGTAAGGAATTTCATTGCCATTGAGAAAGACAGTCATAAATCATTTTTGACAAAGCAAGTATTGTTGTCTTAAGGGATCATGTGATTTTGTAGGAAAATCGTATCTTCAATGCCTCTGAAAGCTTTATTTTCAACATTTAATCTTGAGAAGTATAATTTACTAACAGCAAGAATATGTTATGAGACACTTAGAATGAAGGCATGCAAGGACAGACTGAAGATTTTTCCTAATATGTCCTGAGTGGAACAGCAACAGAAATATAATTAAAATTATAATTAATAAGGTCATAATAAAATAACCTTAGCTGTGCAGATACTTCTTCCTTTTGCCAATGTCTGACTTGTGAAATGGAGCAGGAAGCATAATGAGGAGTAGCTGTTACAAAAATTTCATAGATGGAACCTGAAATTAAGGTTATTCCTGCATCTGAACGGCTGTTCGTCATCTGATGACATTCCCTCTATCATTTTTGTGTGAAAGATTCTCTAAAAGCAATAATAAAGGAGTCTCTAGATGCTTTGTCTCAGGGATGCCTTGTGCCAATAACCCATTGTCAGAGATATTTTCGGAGAATTTTCCTGGCACATGAGATTTAGTTCCACTGTACAATGGAGTGAGTGAAAAACAATATACAAACGTATCACAAAACCAACATACAAACAATATTAAAATACACATATTAAATTCCATAGGACGTTTCCATAAGAATTTTTTATTACTCATGCTTAAAGCTGTGCAGTTACAGTGTATTTGTGCACCTGTGCTCTACTCTTTGCTTATGATGCCACCCATTGTCTCCAATCTTGTAGAGATGGGCAGGTGCAAATCTGGGCTGATCTTGAAGACAGACAGGTGGAAGGAAATTGCAAAGGAACAGATGTGAACAGAACAGAACAGATAAATATTCCATGCTATTTTTGGGGTTGTATTGTATTTTTCCTTTAAACCTGTATTGTGTTAAATGTATACAAGTCTGTTAAAAATTCTCCATTGAGATCTTCTTCAACTAAAGTGTACTAAAGCTGTCCCTTGAAAATTCTCAATTTTTGCCTGCTTGTGTGATCAAGTTTTCCAAATGTCCTTCTAGATGGCTGTTTTGAAGCATTGCAGCTGGTAGTCCTACTGCTAGAGGTGCTAAATGTGCATTTATGTGTAAGTGTTATATTATTAACCGGGTCTAGATGATTGTATTAGGTGCTAATTGAGGTTGTCCTAAGCCTGGTATTATAATAGTTTCTAATCGAGTTGTCTCAAAAAAACAAATATCGAGAGCGGTGCACTTGACCTACTTTATTGTCAACATGGTTAATCATGTGAGAGATATTCCTGATAAATTGTTAATTGTGGTTTACTTACTGCAGAACAAAAATTCCTCTTACAGAGATCAATGGGAATGTGTACTGTAATTTATTTCCTGAGTTATTTCTTTGTAAGGTCAAGACCTGAATTGGGAATGATGTGAACTGACACTTTAGGCAAATACTTGCTGACTTTGACTTCCAGCAAGGTCATGCTACTTCTTGTAGTTAAGAGCATTGAAGCTACCTCACCAGATTTCGAACAATGACCTTTTTGAAGTGATCAAAAATAGTTATGTTGACAACACAAGCCATACCACTTGTTGATATTAATAATAATTTATGTACTTGACTCCCATTTGTAATGCTCTTATTTCTGTGACTTGCTTTACAAAACTCAAATTGCTCCCCACTACCCAAACTTTGAGTTGCGCCCTTTTCTCTGCTCATTTATTTCTGTTTTCACATTGTATTTATTTCATTACTGCTAATTTCCATTTTTTTTTCCTCAATGTCCCAAGTTCTTCTAGTTTTACCTCACATGCTATGCAGGGCTCCCATAGAATCTCAGAATCATTGAATGATTTGGGTTGGAAAGAACCTTAGAGGTCATCTCATTCCACCCCCTTTGCCACGGGGGAGGGGTTGCACAAACATGTGCTTGAGAATTGCTAGTTCGTTCTTGCCATGGGCAGGAACACCTTCCACTAGACCAGATTGCTCAGAGCCTCATCCAACTTGCCCCTGAGCACTGCTAGGGATGGGGCACCCACAGCTTCTTAGGGCAAACTGTGCCAGGGCCTCATCATCCTCTGTGTAAAAAATGTCTGCCTTATGTCCAACCTAAATCTACCCTCTTTTACTTTAAAACCATTGTCCTTTGTCCTGTTACAATAGGTCCTGCTGAAAAGTTTGTTCCCATCTTTCTTATAAACCCCCTTTAAGTACCAGAAGGGCAAAAAAAGTCTCTCTGTTCTAAGCGGCGATGGCATTTCGTGTTTCCAGAGGTTTTCTTCAGTTCTCTGGACCAGTTCCAGACCTCCCTCAAGAGTTTTCAATTCAGCATGCATTCAAAGCCAAGGCTTCCCCTGGTATTTATGAGCTACCTTCTGGTGAAGCCGAAATTATGGAGTCACAGTTCCATGACAAATACACAAGTAATAACCACATATTGCATGTGGATACAGCACAACTGTAAATTAGCAGAATACCAAACAATTTTAGAGGTTAAGTCCTCAGCACAGAGCTTTCATTTAATTCAAGTGAAAATTTGAATGTGAAGTTGAAAAAGAAAGTTTAGGTATGTGATTGAAGTGCTTATCCTGAAGACATCAACACCTGGTAAAGCTATGTGGAAGCTCTTATAATAAAAACCACACTGAATTATAAAGTTTGTATTTAAAATTCATAGGTACGTAGGGTAGTTCTGTGTAACCCTTTCTCTAAAATGGTATGTTTAATAATGTTTTTGTATGAATTGCTGAAAACCTCTACCACTGAAGGTGCTTTTATTTCCTAAAGGAAACAATTTTAAAGTTAAGTAATTAAACCAGAAAAGGTTCTTCCTGAAAAGAATATTCCCCGACAAACCCTATTTTTAATTTCTTCTTGCAGAATTCCTGAATTAATGGAAAATATTTATGATTTATTATAACAAACAACTTGCTCTCCAAACAAGGAAATTACGGAGTAGGAAGTCTGTTCATTGTTGCATGTCTTCAAATAAGATCTAATCAGACAAAAACAATTATATAGAGTTTTGCATTAAGAATATAGAATATTTGATCTTTGTCTTTATAGACAGTAAATTCTTCATTAGTGTTTTTTTTCTTTTTAGGATATATTTGACAGTGACTGGTATACTTCCTGCAGGCTCATTGGAGGAGCTGATATTATTGTGATTAAATATTCTGTCAATGACAAGACTTCATTTCAAGAACTGAAGGACAGCTATGTGCCAATGGTAAAAAAAGCCCTAAATCACTGCTCAGTTCCAGTAATAATTTCTGCTATTGGTGCAAGAAAAAGGGGTATGTATCCAGCCTCCTGTAACAATAGATAAAATCTCGTTTGGAAGTTGGGTATAATGCAGTTTCAGTAGAAGCTGGTTGTTTTTCCAAGCTGCTAGCAGAAACAATTAGTCTGTCAGGATGACAGTAATAATATGCACATGTATTTTGGCTCTCTAGACTGATGTGCTGGCCAGAACACTGTGCCCAGTCAACCCCAGTGAAGAAAGGCAACTTATCCTTCTTCGACCTCTGCAATGACTCTTCTTGTGGAGCCATCACACATGAGGATTAAATCTAGTAATTTGGATTAAGCAACATTTATTTGGGTATAAAGTATCCCTAGAGTATGAGATTAAAATTATATCCAACATTCTGAAAACAGTGGAGAGTGGGTGGGAAAAGCCTAGAAATTCTCTGGGATCTTTTTCCTAAAACAGTGACTGAAAACCACAGTCCTAGCTTGTCTTTTACTTCATGATACTTTACTAAAATTAGTGTTTCTGAGCATCCCTCATTTTAATGAGTAAGAGACATGATGAACGTAGATGTAGACATTTATTTTTGTACTGTACATAGAAATATTAATCCATATGAAGTATACTTCCTCTGTGGATGGAATGCTCAGTGTTGCTAAGGTCTACTTATGAATCTTTTAGCTCAGTGACAGATACAGGACAATTAAAGAGCTGCATAACAGTTAAATATTTATTTCACTGAATTACTTTAGTAATTCAGTGATCACGACCAAAAATTTTCATGCTCTGATTTATACAGGAATAATAAATCTCCCATTCTAAGGGCAAGGTCTTGGTAAATTGTTTGTATTCCCCAAGCATTTCCTTACACTTTGTGTTTAAGAACAGGATGTCACTAAACTGAGTGGGTTTTTTTTGTTTGGTGTTTTTTTTTTTTTTTTTAAGGTTTTTTTTTTTTCTTTTCCACTTAGGTTTTTTCTGTGTTCCTCCCTAAGTAATGTGGTCATGAAAGACATCAGGCTGGACCTCTGGATTTGCCCTGGGACCTGTCAGAGCAAACTGCTGTGTACACACAGAACCTTTTTGTTTCTAGGAGGTATTTGTGAATACAGCAGTTTGCTCATACAGATTACTAAGATATTAATCCTCTGTAGTGGTAAATGCTGCTGACAAAACAAATTATTAAAAAAAAACCCCAAAAAAACAGAAAAAGCTGTTTCATTACATTATCTATAGGTCTAGGCAGAGGACATTAGCACAGAGCATGCACAGCACATTTGAAAGCACATCCATGGTTGGCATATTCTTACTGTCATTAAGCATAGCTGACCCAGTGTGGCTAGAAGATTTTTAACATTTAAATGGCATAATCTTAAAAGTAACTATTTTGGGTTTTTTTTAAATATATGTGAAATACATGTAAATGAATCAGATCCTGCAGTACGTACAAACCCATCAAGGGTTGGTCTGGAGTGGAAATTTTCTTCTTTCACTACTGTGTGTACTTCCTGCATGGACAGGCCACAATAATTCAACAGGTTTAAGGGTGACATTCATGAATTATAACACCTGAAGGCTAGTACAAGACCTGGGCATGCAAAGGTATTGAGCCAAAGCCAAATCTGGCATCCCTAAGTCTGGCTGGACTCTTCCACCTTAACAAAACCAATAAAGTAATGCTAATGTAATGTATGCAGGGGTTTTTATATTGACTAGTGTTTTGAATTTATTAGTATGGAGCTGTGGTTTTTTTCTGTAATTATAGATTTCTTATTATAAAATTCCTATGTTTTTATTTCCCTCTTTGTTCTCCTCTAAGTAAGATATCTTTACAGTTATCTAGGAATCTAAGAATTCTGCATTATTTGGCCAAAATGGTTCTTTTTCATAACTTATTTCCCCAGGAGTGTCTTGCACCTGTCCCCTGTGCACTTCAGACAGAAAGAGCTGTGTCACAACCTCCGAAGGAGTTCAACTTGCAAAGGAACTCAGAGCCACCTACCTTGAACTGCACACTCTTGACGACTTCTACATCCAGAAATATTTTGGAGGAGTGGTGAGTGAGAATCTGCATTTTTCGAAACAGGGTGGAACATGCATGAGATGCATGACCGATGTGAGAGCTTCAGAGAGCCAGGGGAGGCACACACATGGGCTCTTCCACCAAGTGCCAAGATCCCACCAATGCAAAATTCAAGTTAGATATTAGAAAGAAATCCTTCACAGTGTGGGTGGTCAGACAGTGGAACAGAATGGTCAGGGGGGCTGTGAGTACCCCTTGGCAGTATTCTTAACTGCGTTGGATGGGGCTTGGAGCAACCTGATCTAGTGGAAAGTGTCCCTGCCCATGGCAGGGGGATTGGTACTCAGTGGTCTTCTAGGTACTTTCCAAGCCCAACCATTCTAGGATTCTGTGAGTCTATGATGCTATCTGAATTAGCATTACCAAGATTGATCTGGTTTTAAGTAGGAAGATTTAGGGAAGCCATTTGACACACTGCAGGAAGTTTTCCACTTGTATTCAGAGTCCTTTTTTCTTGCTGGATAACACCCAGCTAAATGGGACCATTCCCCAAGATACAATTAGTATCCAAAGAGGTTGGTAAATTTAATATCTTTGTGTCTGTCAATTCTAGGAAGATCAAATACACAAGAATTAACCACAATCATTTGAATAAATAGTCTTTTTAATTGTGCTAGTTCTATTTAAATATGGTAGCTTCTTGTTAGGAGTTTTGGGACTCTCCCAGATGACTCGTAATAATGTCAGTAGCTTTAGCCCTGCATACAGAACCTGTTATACCCCTTAATTTGATATATAGGTTGTTATTAAATAACAAATGTTTTAAAAATATCTATTTCTTGTCTTAGCTGGAATATTTTATAATCCAAAGTTTGAATCAGAAGTCATCTGAAAAAATGAAGAAAAGGAAAAAGACGCAGAAGTGCCATCGAGTCCAACCACCTCAGCTTGAACAGCCAGGTGATCATTGATATCTGGTCCCTAGTATAATTCCTTATGTGTGTCACCTTTTTTGCACAATTAATATTTTTTCTACATTTTTTAGTAACAATTGTTACTATGAGCTGTGCTATCTATTGTCAGCTGTTCTGATTATGTTGCATCATCTTTTAGTGATGGTTTAATTTACCTGGGGAGAATTGTATGGCAATATATAACTTTGCAATGGATTTCTAGCTTGTTTTAGATATAACTAATAGGAATGGTTTTCTGGTGGACTTATGAAAACATGAATTGATAAAAACTTTACATAAAATCTTAACAGACAAATTACAAAAGAAAGTTGTTTTAGAGCATGAATTATTATTCTACAGTATAATCAAATAGTGTTTTTGTTTGTTGCAGATAAAGCAAGGGAGAGAAGTACACACCTTTATGTGATTTCTGAGCATCTGATGCATTTGTTTAGTAAAAAAATTACTGACAAGTAGTTACCTCTAAATCTGTAGTCGTCTCTTCTTCCATGTTCTAAAAATGTGCTCAGACCTCTTAGATTTGGAATATACAGTCAAAAGTTTCTTTATAGTGTAACTTTCATGAAGGGACAGATACCATTAAACTAAGTGTTTCTTAATTTACTTACTGTACTAAGTATTTCCATTTTTAGAGAATTTTACTTAAGATATTCAAACAGCATATAAGAAATATTCTTATTGAATATCTCCGTTAAAAATTAAACTGACCTAATAAGGTCAATTGTCCTGTGGTTAGAACTTGCTACGGTTGCAACCTGAGCTCTTTTTCAGAAAAGATGCCAATCCTGAAGGGCGAAGCCTCGCACTACAATGCAGACCTGCACAATCTGCTCTACTGTTGCCAGTGTGCAGATGTGGCCTTTTACCCTGAGGACCTCAGCACGGCGGTGGAGGCTCACAAGATCATCCTCTGCTCTGTCAGCCACCTCTTCATGCTGCTCTTCAGGGTGAAGAGCCCGTCTGACACCCATGATGCCTCCATCGTACAGCTGGCACAGAGCCTCTTCGCAGTGGAGGTGGGGGATCTCTTCCCCTCCTCCTCCCATGATTTACCACCCTGTGTCCCACCAGTCAGGGTAGTGGTGAAGGATTCTGTCTTCTGTTCTTGTCTGCCAGACATCCTCCACTTCATCTATTCAGGTACCTGCTGGGAACAGATCTGGCTACTCACTTCCTATTGTCTCATGAAGGAATATGTGCATCACACTAAGAAACATGACTTTTCTGTCACTAGATGATATCTCGCCTTGTTTCCATACCTATTCTAACCATTGTGATTACTATGCACTATGGAAAAAAATCATCACCTATAACAAAAACTAAATTATTGTCATTCCAGATCTAATGGGCCTAAGTTAAATTAGTCCATAGGCTAACATCAATAATATCCAAAATTTTGCCATAAAAAATTTGGAGTTTGAGTGAGTTTCAGATCCTAGATTTTTAAAATACTGCAAATGGTTGCATGTTCTAAACATGAGAACCAAGAACATGAGGGCAAGAGTGCAGAGTTACTTAAGAAAACTCAAATAATTTTTATTCTGAGTATGGTGCAACTGAAGAGAACACAGTGATAAGTGGCTGGAGTGTGGAGGCTTCTGATGTGTTGCATGACTTTTGCTACCAGTTGCCACAGGCTGCGACCTCATCTACCTAATGCCAGCTATTAAAATGGCACTGATTTTTTTTAGATTTTCAGATGTTGCTTAGAAGTCCTCAGCAGAAATATTTGGGTTTTTTTTCTGGAAGTAGCCAATGCCTGCTTGTTCTCCATGAAATATTTTTCAGCCTGTTAGAGAATCTTTCAGCTTTCAGTTGGAATTTGTACATCAAAGGCAGTTCTTTCCAAAATAGTAACAAACGTAAAGAACAGACGAAGAAGTTTTCCACTGAAAAAAAATTCCCTGAATAGATTTTTTTTTTTTGTTCTTATTTACTGCAGAAAAGGATAGGGGATTAAAACTGGATTTTCAGCAGGGGATGGATAAATACAGTATTTTTAATTCATAGAATAATTTAATAATTTGGGTAGGAAAAGACCTTTAAGATTATCGAGTCCAGCCACTAATCCATCACTGCCAAGCCCATCACTTAAATCATGTCCCAATGTGCCGCATCTTTGAAGTGTCTCCAGGGATGGTGACCCTACCACTGCCTTGGGCACCTTGTTCCAGTGCTTGATAACCCTTTAGGTGAAGAAGTGTTCCTGATATTGAATCTAAACCTCCCCTGTTGCAATTTGAGGCTGTTTCCTCTTGTTCTGTCACTTATTACCTGGAAGAAGAGACTATCCCCAGCCTGGCTACAACCTCCTTCCAGGCAGTTGGCCAGAAGGTGACAAGTTCACCCCTGAGCCTCCTTTCCTCCTGTCTAAACATCTTTGTTAATATCTTTATCTGTTACCATCTACAGCTTGTGTCTAGTGCCTTGTGTGCACTAATTTTCCTTTTTTACTTTCTTTTTTGTCAGCCAAAGATCTGTGAAACTGTGCAGTTGTAGGCAGAACTCTGCCTCTCAGCTCCCAGCCTGAGGGTCATTGTGGCTTTTGGTGCCCCTGAGACCTGAAGGTGCTTGAGAAGAGAACAAATCATGAGTTTTCAGATTTTTCAGGACTGTGACATGATGCCCATGAGGTTATAAACCCTTATCCAGTGTGGTATAGATGGGAGATAATTAAGCTGGATAAGAGGATGCTGTGTGTTGTAGGGACTGATTGAGCCTCTTGACAGCAGAGCATCTTCAGGGCTGTGCTGAGTTGGGCTTGTCACTGAGCTTGATCTATTTCTGTCTCCTTTTTGTCCTGGATTAGAACTGAAAGTTACCACAAAGTCCCACGGTGCATCTGAGACTTACACCAGCAAGCTGCATGAAGATAAACTATCTTTGTTTTTACTCTCTTCATTTTTCCAAGAAAGCTTTTGAGACACTTCAGTGAATGTCATGGCTTTGTCTGGGAAAACAAGAATAACAGGAATTCTACTGCAAACTTTGTGCTGATTTTAGCTATGAGGACTGAGAATGTAACTGTGCTTTAAATTTTTCTAGTTCAGACCCCTACAGAACAATGAAGCCAGCAGCACAGGCAGAAGTTAAAAAAATTCCACAAATGTTGAAACATTAAGGATTTTTTTTTTCTGAATCTCTACCTGCAATATGTAGTGACTGAACTGGAAGTAATTAATACATTGAGTGTGAAAGCAAGTGAGATGCTCTAGTCTGTTGGTACTAGTACTAGTCTGTTGCACTATAAAAAGTACCATGGAAATTTAATTTGCAAAAATTACATTGTGCCCTTCCTAAAAGCAAAGGTCTGGGTGATTTATGTACAAACCCCCTACCATTTCTGTAGGATGTGTTTGGCATTGATGTCATTTTTCCTCTGCCTGCTGAGGTCTGTGCCATGCTGATTTATAATCTGAACTCCGCCTGGTTTTGTGGTAGGTGCTTTCCAGTGGGATCGATTAGAAGAGGACATAAGAAAGAAGCTGAATGATCCAGATAAAACAGAACACGTGCTTGAGAAAGTTAAATTCATCCTGAAAACTCCAGGGAAGGTACATCAAACTCCCTTGGGTCACCATTAGTTACTTAAGTTTTTGAGGGATTGTTTTATAGGCAAGGTTTTCGTGTCAGTTTTTGTTTTAAAGTCATTTTGGATCAAACAGCCTGTAGTATTTAATGCTTTCAGTGGGTTGTTTGCAGGCACATACACAGAGATCCACATGTAACATGCAAAATAAATGTAATTGGTAAAAATCACAATAGCAGGTATTCTAAAAGTATTACTCGTATTCGCAGCTTTGAACATTGTCTGGCAATATGATTATGGGTTGCTAATTCCCATGTAATAGAGGCTGCCCAGGAAAGATTTGCTCCTGAACATAAGCCAAAAGTTAGGATTCTGCAGTAGATCCATAGGGGTGGTTTCTCATGTAAATGCTGTGATTGGAAAACTGTCTGTAACTCAATATATTTAATCCAGTAGAAGATCACACAAAAAATGTAACATATTATTAGGTTAATAAAAAGTCACAATGTAGAATTAGTTTTAATATAGAATTCATTTTTACAGACATTTTTTCTTGGCGCATATACATTCCCTGATAATATTGAACTTGCTCTAATAATTTCTGTTGATTTAGAAGGGCAAATCTCTCAGATTCTCTTGGAACAATACAGATTAGACATCAAAAAGTCACTGAACTGTTTTCAGCTTATGACTGCTCTGTCTTAGGCTTACCAGCCCACAGCTAAAACATTTATAGGTTTGGCCTTGGAGAGCCTGAAGACTTTTAAGATAGTGAGCCTGAACTGCTGTAGTTTCTTTTATTGTTTTTTTATGCTTTCAGGGTACTCTTATTTCACATTTAAGCATTTTTTGGAGGCCAAAAGGAAGGAATTGTAATTTTTCTTAGTAAAACTAAAAAATTTATAAATTTAGCATTTTAACCATAAATTCAACCTCATCTGAATTTCACTTGTCACAATCTAGCAGCATGATGAATATTGTTCCTTTTGGCAGCTTTAGATTACATTTTTAAGGTAAGAAAAACAAAACTGAGAACTAACTGAGAGTACTGGGTCTTGGAGGGTCTTAACACTACCAGGTTATTGTAAGAGGAGTCTGTGCTCCAGCCTGTGAGCTCCCCCTGCCTCTGTCAAAGCAATTCCAGGGCAGTATAAACATGGAACTTCCAGCTGCCTTGCCTCTGTACATCGCACTGTGGGGTGGAGGTGTGTCCCATCCCTACTCCTCCCTGAGCCCTCAAACCTTGTTTTGCTGCAGCATTGGGTCTGGACAGGGAATGCATGCAAAGGTTTGGACTCTAGAAAACTGATGAAGCCCGACCTGCCTGTAGGGGCTTGGTGGGGGAGTTTTGTCAGAGGTCAAGATTACCAAGGATAGAGCTGAGGTGTGACTGTGCGGGACAAGAGACCCCTCAGAGATGCTGCACTTCCTGGAATAGGAAATTAGAAGACAAAAGGTGATTGCAGAGGAATGCACGTGCCAGAAGCTGTTGTTTATTTTCCCATATAAATAATGTCCCATAATATTTAGTTCTGTGGACAGCCAAACATGACAGCACTTTATTACCAATTTATTTTTCAGCTAAACACTATAAAGGACTGCAACTCTCACCAGATAAAACGTCTGTATAATACTTCTCTCAGGCTATTCTTCAACACACCTGTGCTAGCTGATGTAATCTTCAAAATACAAGGTACAGTACCTCTGCTCCCTTAGCCTCCAGTCTTTCTGCTTGTTCCCCTCTTCAGGAATGTGGGATATAGAGGTGACCATGTTCCATAGCATCAAAACTAAGGAAATAAGAGTGCTTTGCTGTCACTGTGGAAAGCAGGGAAAGCTTGTCCCTGTGGATGCCCTGTAGCAGTGTCCACTCCAAGCATTGTTCATGTGGGCTGATCCTATAGGAATTCCCTCTCCCTGTCACGGCACATTGTCCCTCCCTGATTTACACTATTTTTTATTGTCTTTTATTATATTTTTGTTTACTCCATTGTGTTTTGCAGTATTTTATTTTATTTTTTATTTATTTATTTTATTTTACTTTATTTTATTTTATTTTATTTTATTTTATTTTATTTTATTTTATTTTATTTTATTTTATTTTATTTTATTTTATTTTATTTTATTTTATTTTATTTTATTTTATTTTATTTTATTTTATTTTATTTTATTTTATTTTATTTTTTTAATCTCAATCCTGTTCCCAGGTGCACAAGCACTAGGACACACTCAAGGGCTCTCCCTAACATCAGACCAGGGAAAGGCTTGAGCTTTATCTCTGTGCTTGTTGCCCCCATTGAAAAGAGCAGATTTGGTGGTTATTGGCTCCTGCCAACATCGCCCTTGTGGCCTCAGAAGCTGACAGGGACTGGCTTCGCGGTCCTTGCCACCAGGGTTTGGTGAACTGCAGATCTGGTGCCACTGACACCTATCACATTTCACTGCCTGATGTGCTGTGGTGTCAGGATTCAGTGTTTTGTGTGGAAATTAAATGTGTTCATTGTTACAATGAAAGATGCAGTGTGAGAAATGTGTTGCATACTTTTGTGAGAATAAAAATTAGATGGCTTTTAAAAGCTAACACTATTCTCCATCTGTCCATACTCACCCTTCATGCAGAAACGGCCTTCTAGAATTAGATAGTGGTTTAATTATTTTCAGATGTATATCTCAGGGACAAATATGAAGCATTAACTCCTCAAACATAAGCACAGAAGGACAAGCAGACTCTTTCTAGGTGTTCTGTTTAACACTCAGAAAAGACACCACAAAAATATCTTTGTAAAGGAGAGGAAAATACTGATTTTGAGCTCAATGACATGAACAATTCACCTCAGTGTCCCTCTTCTGAGAAAGTCTTTGTGGAAAGCTGATGAAACCAGAACAACACTATATATTTTAGAGAAAGAAAACCCAAATCTCTGAATGGGTTGACAAGTATTTTTAAAAAAGCATGCTTATCCACTAATAAAATGTGAACTGTTTTTCTAATAATTTATGACGATTTTTTTTTTCTCTAATTCATCAGAGTAACTGTTTGAAATTAAATAACTACTAAGAGAAAATGAAGGCACTAATCTTAACCAGACAAACAAATTTGTAAGTTTTTGAGCAATTTCTTAAATACTTAGCACTGCTTTGAGTTTTCTAGCCCAGAGAAGTATGAGAGCCAGGAAAAACAGGAGCCCATTATGTCTGTGTAAATACATAGAATGTGACTGAACATCTTAACTAGTCGATAAATGTCCATTCACAAGCACATACAGGACACATAGCACGCAGCTTAGACATTTTGAAAGTAGAAGTACAGGGGGTAGAAGCAGAACAAAAGACAAAAAAATGCCCGAAGGCTTCAAAGAATTACTCAGGTGTCAATGTTGTGGTTAAAGACATAATTAACTTCTTTCTAAGTACATACAGTATATTGCATGTCACTTGATCTGTTTATTATAATTTTGATTAAAACATTTACATCCAACACCAAATGCTTATTTTGGTTTTGGTTGCTGTCCTGACTGGCACTTGCTTGGCACTTCCTTGAATACTGAGCTGGACTGCTCAGTCCAGCTGGAGTCTGCAGCCTGAAAGGCCTCTACCACTCCGGGCTTAAGGGCTCTCCAGGTCTTCCAAATGCTGTAGTAAAGCAAAGAGTTCACTTGCAAATAGTAGAAAATTAATAAATTTCTGGAAAAAAATCATAAGTGTTTATTTCATGAGACTACAATTCATGAAATTCACTTAGGCACAGTATTTAACCTAGTTAAATTTATACTTACTTACTGAACTTAATGGAATTTCATCTGGAAAATTTTGCCTTTTTCTGCTTTGTGTGGTCATTCTGTACAAATATTAATTATCAGCAGGGTTACTGGTGAACATAAATGACTCTTCATAGAATCATTCACATTGGAAATGATCCCTAAGGTCATCAAGTCCAACAATTAACCACTTGCATAACAATTCATAACATTTCATATTATGAAGTGGGCTGGAGGTTCAGTCAGTGTGAGCAGATTATTATCAGTTGGTTTAGTCTATTGCATGTTGGTTTAATTTATTTTTTTGTTTGTTGATTTTGGTTTATTTTACTATTCATTAGTCATCTTAACTAGTATGCAGTGAGTGTGTTCTTAGTCATTGCCAACTTTCAACACTTGAATAATGTTCAGTGGGATGAAAACCTCCTAAGAAGACATGAGCTTTAAAATTAAGATCTTTCTGTGTTACAAAAAGTCATTGTATATTTATTTTTGTCTTGTATCCTGCAGGTTCAACTGTACCAGCCCACAGGGCAGTTCTGGTGGCTCGCTGTAAGGTTATGGCAGCTATGTTTAATGGCAATTATCTAGAGGCAAATAGCATTCTGGTTCCAGTGTATGGGGTTTCCAAAGACACTTTCCTGTCCTTCTTAGAGTACCTTTACACTGACTCCTGCTACCCAGGTAAGGAAACTGTAAAATATAGTTCTATATCTGTAACTCATTTTTCCATAGCAGGGCATTGATCGAGAGTAATGTAGCAGCGCCTATTTAATTGAAAAATGCCAATATTTGAATGTGCAATGTCTCAAGAAAGATAACTTTTTTGTATTGTGCAATAAAAAAAGAAATCCGTCCTATACAAGTAAAATAGAAGAAATATTTCTAATAAAATTATTTATTTGTTTTGTGCTCACATAGCAAGACTCAAAGAAGTTGTAATTTCATTTCTGATCCATTATGTATTTATAATTTTCTTTTTACATTACAGTATTACTGCTTTCTAGTTTGGATTCTGCATTATATTTAAAAGTTGTCATTTCTTGAACACGCATATAGCTGAGTTATAATAAACAAGGTTAAATTGCAGGAATATCTTACTTATACACATGGTTATCTTATGTGTATGTAAACCCAGAAAAAATATGCCAACAGGAGTGTTTGGCAAGAAAAATTGAGCTAAAATATTCTTTATGTCCCAATCTTTATCTTTCTTATGAGAAGGAAATCTGAATACTAAATCTAAAACATAATTTAAATGTCACTAATTTTTCCTTTATATAATGAATAAAACTACATATCAAAATACGTAGTTTTGCTTTTGTTTTCTTTTGAAATAGATATTCTAGCTTGTTCTTAGATATTCCATGTTTCTCTTTTCACTCCACCTAATATTTCCTTGTTTATCAGTTTAAAAATGCAACCACTGTGCTATATTTTAAAAAAAAATGCCTCTCTTTTTTTGTCTTTGGACTTTGGCTATATTTTCTTTTATCATAAAAGTGCTTTTCTGAAAGAGAACTTAGCAAAATCCACCCATTAATTTTCAGTTACTCTAAATAGATCAGCAGCACTTGACTCATCGTCTTCAAGATCCACAATATTGACAGCAATTCTTTACATCTATCTGCCAAAAAGTTCTAAACAAATTTTTCTTCTTAATTGAATAGCTTATCTGGAAAAATAAGGGGATACAGCAAACAAAAATTTATAATAATGAAAAAATAAAACAAGGTGATTACAGCAGTCTGATTTTGTGTTTGTTGTTTGGTATTTAAAATTCAATGTGGTGAAAAGTAGTGTTGGTCATCTTGTCAAAAAGGTAAAATACATGTAACTTGTGTTTTCTTGGTTTTCAGCCAGTATTCTCCAAGCGATGTCTCTGCTGATCTGTGCAGAGATGTACCAAGTAATGAGACTCCAGCACATTTGTGAACTTTACATCATCACGCAGCTTCAGAGCATGCCTAGCAGGGAACTGGCTTCCACAAGCCTCAGTATTGTTAGCTTGCTCAAAAAAGCTAAGGTACTTATTGTATATATCAAATGAGAATATATATGTTGATTTAATAAGTTGTTTTAGAAATTTAAAAAACATTTAGAGCAATTTCTGTTCCCAAGGAAACATGTTGGTATAAAATCTGTTTACTAGGGATAACTGGTGAAACAAGGGTGGCCAGAAGAAATCTTTCAGCCTATAATCACAGAATTGCCTTCACCACTGTACACAAGTCTGCTTCAGAGCTTGACAACCTTTACCACAAAGAAATTTTTCCTACTATTCAAACTAAACCTCCCTGGCACAACCTGAAGCTATTTCATCGTGTGCCGTCACTTTTTATCTGGGAGCAGAGACTGACCCCCACCTGTCCACAACCTCCTTTCAGGGTGTTGTAGAGAGTGATGAGGTCGCCCAGAGCCTCTTTTTTTTTTTTTTTTCTCCAGAATAAAAATCCCCACCTCCTTCAGCTGCTTCCCATAAGATTTGGGCTCCAGATCCTCTAGTCACACACTCATATGTGGAATTTCCTTTATCATGGACACACTACAGTAATTCAACTTAACTACAGCAACTACAGCTTCTTCCAGAAAAGAGGGGGTTTAGGCAAGTAAAGATACACTCGTTCTTCTTTTAGTCAAAAAACTAAATTATGTGGCATGCAGGTGACAAAGGAGATCCAACTGCATAGAATATTGAGAGAAATGCAAAAGAGCAGGAAAAGAAAAGATTAGAGGCTGAAAAAAGACAATAAAGGCAGATTTGAAAAACAGAAGAGGAAAATAAAAACTAAATTGCAGAATATTGCCTTAATCAAATAGGATTTTCTGCTGAAACAGGAGACCACAAAACCAACATGCCACATTCCTTCCCTCCAGTCCTGTGAAGCTCTGCCTCTGTGCAGATGTCAAAATTTCCAAGATTCATGATATCTCAGGCGTTTTTTCTACCTCTGGGAGAGGGACTTTGTTAATTTGTTATTGGGTGTTCACCTGTTTACGTATTTCCATTAAATGACTTTTCCTTCTTTACCTTCCATAGTCAAAACTTTATTTAGTAAATTGCTTAAACCAAAAGTATTTTTATATGTGAGATGTGGTTATGTTTTAGATGTTTTGTCTTTTCCTTCTTCCCACAGTTTCACAATTCTGATTGCCTTTCAACTTGGCTTCTTCATTTTATTGCCACAAACTACCTCATCTTCAGTCAAAAGCCTGAATTTCAAGAACTTTCAGGTATTTTTCTGTTCATTTTGAAGAGACGCATGTTTTATATTTTGCCAAGATGAAAAGTGATGTTCTGGATAATACCATTTGTGCATGAGAAAATAATTAGGGTTTCTTTAGGGTATTTCAGCAGGATGTTTCACCATCCTGCTGTGGGATCACCACACAGCATGACGCAGCCAGCCCTGCATCACTATTTTTATGGTTCCTATTGGGATAGCCAGGTTCCCACCCATAACTGAATTTGCTGGAACAGTTTGGTCATTGTATGTCAATGTCTTCATGTTATCTTGCTAATTTAAATCAAGGTGATAGGTCATTTTTGAGACTTCTTCAAGTGCTGGGGTTTTCCTTTAAAAAAATAGGATTCTTATAATATGCTCCAGCAGATCTTATAAAATAAAAAAATTATGGCCTGTTCAAGTAAATAAATCCATCTTCTTCCAGGGATCTGGTATTTATATTTCCAGACATTTGTATTTGCTTCTGGTGGTGTAACTAGAAAGTTTTGTTCATTGCCTGTGTGATTTTCCTTCACCCTGATGAGGGTTGCATCTCTTTGACCTGGATACATTTCTTTGACCTGTGACACCTCATCACCCCTAGGTTTAGGACAGCAACGCAGCAGCAGGCAGTGGCTCTCCAGGGGCTTTCCAAGACCTGAGACCTTCACAGAAATGCAGAATTAGCTGAGTTGGAAGAATGCACAAGTATCAATGAGTGCAGCTCCTGGTCCTGCACAACACCATCCCGAAGAGTGACATCATGAGTATTCTCCAAAAGCTTAATGAACTCTGTCAGACTGGTGCCATCATCATTGCCCTGGGGAGCCTGTTCAGTGCCCAAATGCACACTGGGGAAGAATCTTTTCCTAATCCAGCCTAAACCTCCCTGACACAACTTCAGGCCATACCCTTCAATCCTCTCACAGAAAAGGAGGGGCAGACACTGATCTTTTCTCACTGGTCACCACTGAGAAAAGATCAGTGTCGGCCCCTCCTTTTCCGCTCTGCTCCTCTTCTTTCCCTCACAAGGAACTTGCAGACGCTACTGAGGTCTCCCCTCAATCTCCTCCAGGCCAAACAGACCAAGTGCCCTCAGATGCTCCTCACACAGCTTCCGCTCGAGGCTCTTTACTGCCCTCCTTTGGACACTCTAATACTTTAATGTCATTCATATACTATAGCGCCCAGTCTGCCCCAGACTTGAAGGGGTATCATCCCAGTGGACAGCAGAGCAGGACAATCCCCTCCGTTGCCTGGGTGGCCATGCTGGGCCTGGTGCCCCCAGAACACAAATGTCACTCCTGGCTGCCAGGACACTGCTGACTCAACTTGTCATCAACCAGGACCCCCAGGGCACTTTCCAGGGCACTGCTATCCAACATCTCATTCCTCAGTCTGTCCATACATCCAGGGTTGTTCCATTCCAGGTGCAGAGTCCAGCACTTTCCCTTTTCAAACTTCCTATGCTTGGTGATCATCCAGTCTTCTAATTTATCGAGGCCTCTCTGCAGGACCTCCCTGCCTTTGAGGAAGTCAACAGTTCCTCCCAGATTTTTAGCATCTGCAAATTTGCTCAGTTTTTCCAGTCCTCCATACAGGTCATTTATGAAGATGTTGAAGAGCAAAGGACCAAGGATGGAAGCCTTTGGAACCCCATTAGTGACAGGTCCCCAGTCTGATGTCGCCCCAGTCATTGTAACCCTTTGTGCCTGTGAGCCAGTTGTTCCCCCTTCACACGATGTGTTTATCTTACTATGGGCTGGACATTTTGTCAAGAAAGATCCCGTGAGAAACAGTATCAAAAGCTTTACTGACATCCAAAAACATTACATCAACTGGCTTCTCTTGATCAATTAGGTGGGTTACTTTGCCATAGAAGAAATCAGATTTGACTAGCAGGATATTCCCCTGAGGATTGAAGCCCTGCCTTGTGCCCAGGTTAGTGCAGTTTGCCTGCCCTCAGGCTCTCCCAGCCGTGAGCTTCTCTGCTGTGCCTTGGTCTGCGGCCCTCAGGAGCCAGGAGTAATGGATGCAAGCTGACTCTGGAATATCTGGGTTCAAGGAGATGAAAATGCATCTTTCTGCAAATGTAGAGAAGATTAATCTAAATAATATTGGTAAAAGACTCATATACAACTTTGTCAGTGATAAAAAGCACATGCAATAGGAGATTAATATCTTACTGAATCTTAGCTGCACTTCTCACCTTGCTCTCTTTACTGATCTCAAATCAAACTATTGGTACAGGAATTTATATACCCTGCCTTATAGTTCTGCAGCTTAGAAAAATCCTTGCATACCACATATGACTATCCTCTAGGGATAAAGTATGCTCATCTTTAGGAATATCTCTTTGCTCTCTTTAATGAGTATTGTATTCCTTTTTTCAAAAAGCTTTTTTATTACTAACTTACTAACAAGGAAACATTGTGTGGTAATTCTTATCTCTGTGCCATAGCAGAGCTCAATGCAAAACAGTCAGCACTTACCTTTACTTTTGTAGCTGTATTAATATCTTTAATCATTTTTTTATCTATTTTAAAATTTTTTTTTGCAGCCTGTGCACATATGCTCTATGTCTATAAATTGTATTTAATTCCTTCATTTCTTTTTCTAGTGGAAGAGCGCAATTTTGTGGAGATGCACCGATGGCCTTCAAACTTGTACCTGAAGCAGCTTGCTGATTACAGGAACTATATCCACTCTCAGAAATGCCACTGCACAGTAATGTAAAGAGGCTGAATACACACAAAGTGCATCTCAATTGCAAAATTTCAGATTGGGGATTATCTAGAATATAAAAACCACATAAAGAGTGCTACCTGATGCTAACCTCCTCTGGAAATTACGTTCTTTGTTTTGCTAACAAATCACTCTAATTTTTACCTTGAAGCATTGGGAAATGAATGTTGAAGATTTATTTTAAGCACAAGGACTTCATATTCATGGGGATTAAATGTATTACAGGACAGTGCCCTGACTGGCATCTGTTCCCCCTTCTAATTTCCTTTTTGTTTATTTTATTGTTTTTCATGGTTATTTGTGGCTGCTAAACTGAATCTGTTCAAAATAGACTGGTTTTGTGTATCTGTGCATAAGAGAAGCATAGGGATACAGTAACAGTGCAGGGAAGCTGAAAACCCAGGTCATAATTTTTTCATATACTTCAGGATGCAAAAATTTTCTGTAGCATTTGTTAGTTCACAATATAATGGGTAGGCTAAAGAAGCATTGTAGTTACTATTAATTTATTACTCCAAAGGAAACCTGTTGTTCTGTTACAACCCTTTGATTAGATGTTTTAATTCCAGAGGAATGCCATTGCATCACAGTATTCTCTAGAGCCTCCAAATATCTAAAGAATGACATGATTTTTCCTGCCAGTAGGTAGGAGAAGAAAGCCTGTTTTCACAATCTGCAGAACACCTTTGTTAGTGTAGTCATATTGTATTTTTCCCCATAAAGAATAAAGAGAGGGAAAACTACATACGCTCAGAGCATATCCGTATGGTACTAATGGACAGGGAAGAAAAAGGGCTCAACAGTCTTTCTTGGGGTTTGAGCAAAAATCTCAAAAAGCCACTAGCAAAAATGGCTTTTTTTGGGAAAAGTGTGTCTAGTAATCATAGTCACTACAATAGATGTTAGATGCGCTAGTCATGAAGGAGATGACCCTCACAGATTTGCCAGTGCTGCCACGGATGTTGGCTTTTGTGGGGTGGGACTTTGAGCTCAAACCTCCCCAGCAGGGATTAAGTTCAAGTTTAATTATCATCATGTGCTCATAAGCTACACCATGTGAGACAAACCTAGCTGTGGATCCTTTCTGAGATACAAGAGAAAAACCCAGAATATTATGACTTGCAAGATCCTTGCAGTTGCTATTTAGCATTTTCTTGACCAAAATAACTTGTCATGCTGCTGACCTGTGTGTGCTATAGTATGTGCTAATGCCAGAATGAACGGAGCCTTTTCCTGAGCATAGGTGCTTTTCTAGAAACAAAATTTAATCAAGGAACTAGATGCCTCATTATCATTCTTGTATTTTCAATTCTGGTTGCTCATCTGCCTTTGTAATGTGGTTTGTAGCCTGAGACTGTGGCATTTCTACCACATCAAATGTACCTAGAAACTGCACTTGTGTGAAGAAGGTGGAAAAACAAATTGTTGGAGCTGAATCTTTTTTTTTTTTTTTTTTTTTTTTAAGTATAAGAATTGTTATATTTTTCAATACCATTTTATAGATAAATTGTTCTTTTCAAATTCCATTCTGTAGTCATAGAGATTTTTTTGGTTTTTGTGATTTTTCCCTATTTTTGTATACACACAAAATAAAAAAGCGTTTATGACACAGCTGGCTGCTGCAGACTCAGAATTCCAAGGTTAGTTTTAGGCAAGAATGGTTTAAAAAAAAAAAACAAAAAAAAAAAAACCAAAAAAAACTTTGCATCTGCAGATCCTAAAGTTATTTAAAAGATTAATATACTTATCTACATCTTGCATATAGAGACCCTAAAATATAGAAAATGATAATGCTTTTTCAAAATCATAAAAGAAAACTGAAATCATTAAACAAAAAAAAAAATAGCAGGAAAGTAATATGTATGGAACTTGCATGTGAAAAAAGTCGTTTTTATAGTCATATAGTTACCAAAACTTTAAGTAAAAATTAAATTACTGGATAGATATGAATAAAACTTCAGTAAGTTATTTGAAGCTTAAAGTCATGGAAAAATTTGTGCATACAGTTAAACTACAGTTTGTCCAGACATCTGATAGCATCTTTGGGTGTTTCTACCAGAAGCCAGCTCAATTATCAAAAGTGGGGATTAAATGCTTCATACTGACATCCTGTGTAAAAGTGACACAAAAGCTCTGTGAATGTTGCTCTAAGCTTCATGTAGTCCTGCATTTTTAATATTTTGAAAGCTTTCCCAGTTTTTTCACTAGGAAATGATTTGTGTATAGATAATACATAAGAAAGTACTGGTTTTAATTTTCTGTAAATGTTTTATAGATTAAAATTTTAAAAATATAAAAATAGGCTTAATGAAAATATAAAACACTTTATATCCAAACCAGAGAAATATTTTACTACTATGCATTTTAGTCAGTGATTGCCACAGGTTTTATACAGAGAGGTCAGGCAGGTAAAAACATTTCGTACTTATTCAGATTCAGAGATTAATGCTTATTACTTTTCAGATAATAAACCAAGTTTCCATTTTACTCTGTAGCCCCATAATGCTGCCTGTATCTGGTGCAGATGTGTTGTACTTGCAGATGTAGACCATCTGATAAATTTTAAGTCTTAAAAGAAATCTTACTAGACATTCTTATTTTCATTCTCTAAGATGATTTTCTGTAGTAATGTATGTCTCTTAGAGCTATTTTTAAACCTTTTTAGCATTTGGAAACATGACTGAAAGTAGATAATTATGTTTTGTGAGTTGCTATTCTTAGCTGGTTTTAGTGGAGGCTTTACGACTGTATCCATCACAGATAGTCAGGAATTAGGGCAGTACTGAATTTGGTATTAATTTATAATTGTGTATGGCATAAAGTAAAAACTGCTTTGATATAAACCCCCCACCTTATACTATGGTACCAAGTAAAAATCAGGAACCAATTTGGAAAAAAAAAGTTATTTAAGGAAGTGGTTTAGAAAAAATAAAATGTTTCTGGAATGCTTGCACTGATTCCAACACCTCCCAAACTCCCCTGGCACTGGCAGCATTGGGATCAAAGAAAGAGGTCAGTGGTGAATTTGGATGTCCCTAGGCAGTACCAATAGCATTTGAAATTATATATTTAGGCTTAAATTTAAGTAGAGATGCCACTCCTGAATCCTTCATAAGAACTAACTTTCAAAATTAACTTTTAACAAATAATATTTTGAATAATGGACTACATCCTTAATTTTTGCTGTCCTATATATGTGTGTCTATTTCTTGTCCCAAACTAGCACTAAACTTATAGAGATTAAAAAAAAGTTTTCTACACTAGTAATGTTTTCCACATGATAGTCATAAAACCTTTGCTATTGTCTTTAGGCCATGGTGTGGTGGATTTGAAAACAAAACCAAACTGTTAGAAAAAAGAATAACTATTTTATTAGGCATGTCCTGAAACTCTTGTATGTTTTTCTTTTAGTATACCTAAATTACATATTTTTAGATTGAATATGTAAAATTTTTTATACAAAATTAAAAAAAAATCTCTAATTGGTCTCATGTGGTTACTTATGGATATGTATTAGCATACTTGACTGTTACATTGGTGATATTTTTTGTAGCTTATTGGTATCATAGAACCATACTGGCTTGGGTAGAGCCATTGGCTGGAGTGGCAAGAGACTTTAAGATCATCTTGTTCCAACACTCATGTAATGGGTAGGGACACTTTCCACTAGACCAGGTTGGTCAGCCTCACCTTGGACACCCAGATCCTCAACTGAGCACCCAGTGAGCTACAACAGCAGCACTGAGCACTGATGGAAGATGCATGCAGTGTCCAAAAAGCCAGAGTGTGTTCAGGTAGCAGTGGGAGGAAGGGTTTGGTTTACAAAGCATTGGAGAAAGAGGGAAGAAAGATAACAAGGAAGGGGACATCAGAGAGGATCACCAGCCTTTGGTCCAGCATTGATCCAGACAGTTCCCCACCCAGGCTCTGTGCGGATACCTTTTTATAGGTAAGTATATGTAGGCTCCCTGCATTTTTTTTTACCTGTCAGACTTTTCCAGTGGTTCTGAAAACAGGAGGCAACAAGGAGACTATTATGACTCTTATCCCATCTTCACTGACACTACTTTAAATCTGTGGGAACCTCCTCATCCCTTTCCTAAATGCTTGTCTAATGAAATTTTTGCTATCTTGTGGCAAGTGCAGAATTGCAAGAAATTTACTGTGGGAAGGGATGGATAGGTGGATAATTAGAAATCATGTAGAGGATTGGCACTAACTTTGTTGCAGATGGCGTCCTCTTTCCAGGCTTGTGACATGGTATTCAGCCATGATGGGTTACCTCGGATCGTTTGTGACTGCTTCACTGCAGTGGTATTAGGGGAAGCTCTGCTGGTGGAGAGCAAGTAATGCAGTATTTGCTGTCCTTGTAAGTCCACAGCATCTCTTACAAAACACTGCAAAAAGTGATGTCAGTACGGAGACAGACGTATCAGCTAGTCCAGGTCTGCTCCAAAAGCCTCAGGTTGAAAACAAAGAAGGCAAACACCTAAGGCAGCAACACTTCACCCAAGTACAGAGGGTGGTTTGTGGTGGAAGGCTGAATTCTGGTCACAGCTTTATGTTTAAAAGGTTTGCAGTTATTCTTCCTCTCTGGGTTAGTACTTCTGACTTTCCAGTAAAGTGATGTCCTCACAGAATTAAATTTTTACTGCATGTATTTCACAATCAATGTTATTATTATGAAAATGGCTATTTTGAAAGCATGTATCTTATTAAGTCTTGAAGCCATTCTTAGCCTGTATATGTGGCTGTTACATTTGGAAAGGAGGAGGAGGTTCAGGTCAGGTGGTAGGGAAAAACACTCAAATCTCTAGTATTGTCCATCGCTTTTCTCAGTTCTGCTCCACTCCCAGCTTCTCATTCACGGACAGCTGAAAACAATGGCTGAGCCCAACAAGAATCCATTTTCTTCTTGTGCAGGCTACTGGTCAAGCCCTTTGTGTCAGAGAGGCAGACTTGGTAGAGGAAAGCCAGCCCTGATTATTTTGTGGCTGTGAGGGTGAAGACTGTTTTAGAGTTTTTAACCTGAAAGATTTTCCACGTGACCTGAAGATTCACCTGGGAACTCCAAGCTGAAGACATTAAATTCTCACTATTCTTTGCTCAAAAGGATAAAGATTGAAGGCCTCGTTATAGGCTGTAAATGCAAAACAACAACTACCTACATTCCTTTCTATGTTCAGCCATGCTCAGTTAACAAGAGAAATCAGCTGGACCAGCCTGGGCCATGACAGGCCCATCCTTTTGAAGACCAAGGATACTCCAATACATATACAAAGACTTTCTAAAGACTGGGACATCTTTTTATTCATTAACCTTGAGTTAATGAATAAAAAGTTGAGTTCTGCTTTTTCCTACACCAAAATCTTCTCTGCAGCAGCAGGTGGGGACTACCCTATGCAGCCTCACTAGCAGCACTGCAAGCTGGGATGCTCAGATCTGTTTTGAACCACAGGTTATCCCAATTGTGAGCAGGCATGGGACAGAGTGGTGACAGGCTTCTAGTGAAACCAACAGGGTGCTAACCCCCATCATATTCCTCTGCCCTGTCCCACTCCCAGGGGTCTCAAGCATCCTTCTGGTCTTCAGGGATGCTCCTGCTTTGTTCTCCAGCCGTGAGCTTACAGAGTTAGATCCAAGCTTCGCAAAGCCTCCTGAGCTCATATAATAATTTTTAACTGCCATATAAAGCAGCTTTCCAGCAACTATAATTTACTGAATTTCTCTTTAAAACTCATTGAAGTACCTTGCCTCCAGCACTTCTCCCTGTGTTTGACAAAACTATTGCAAAGATCTGAATATTCCTTGGCTCACTGACAAGCTGAGGCCGTGATTTACAAGCAGTCCTGGGAGCTGCTTCAGCTGACAGCCTAGAGCAGCCCCCGTGTGCACTCCTCTGTAACCCTCCAAAGCAAGGTGATTTGGGGAGGGGGTTGTACAAACTTCTACACCTTTCACCACATTATGCAAAAAGTTTGCATTAAAAAGAAAGGTCAAAAAACACTCCTATACTTATCATAAAGCATTTCCATTTGTTACAGTATTTTCTTAAAACCTGCACAACTTCATGGTAGAGGCAGTGGGCTTCCATCCTGTACTGATAAATTTATTTCAGTGGACAAACCTAAGACTTGAAGAAAAGAAGTGACCAGAAGAAACCCACTACAAATACAACACAAGCAACAATGAAAGAAGAAATTACCAATAGGGAGATTTCTTTATTGTTAGCATTCAATACTATAATTTTCAACTTCTTAAGCTTACTAAACTTCTTTGGACTAATCCTACATTTTTAAGCAATTACGTACTGCTCAGTGCTAAAATAACTTACTGTTCAATACTAATTTATAAAATCCTAAACAACCTAACCTTTTAGTTGAAATAAAAATCTAGAGTTCATAGATGTTTCCTTGCTGAAGCAAGTTTCTGGCGCCAGTACTCCACTTACTGCTGGTCAAATTTAGAAATGCAGCTCTGAATATGGGCAGCTTTTTATGGAGCTTCTTTTTTACTGGCACCTGCTCTTCATTTCAGAGTAGCTGGGGCTACTCTGTGAAGGAGAAAGCAAAAGAAAATTAGGGCATGCAAACACTTCTGCAAAATCTAGAATATGATGTCCTTTGCTTTAAAAAGCCTTGAGTTAGACTCAGCAGTTACCATGACCCTGCAGGTCTGGTGTCACACATACCTGTTGTAATTGCTGATAATCTGCTAGGATTAGATGATGCAGATTCTTCAAGAAAAAATATGAAGATAATATGAAGAAAAATATGAAGAAAATATTAAGACTACCTGTATATAGTCTTGAGATTCTGGCCCACCAGCACAGCTATTTTTTTCTGTGCTGGATTTTTCCTGCCTCTTCAAAGGAAGACTACACCCTTTTTCTACAGGATCACTACTCCAACAGAACCACACCTGACACTCCAAGAGGACTGCACAATTCTCCCTCCCCTCCAGCACTGCAAATACGATGAGAGGATGCAGCACCACTGTTGCAGCTGAGCCTGTGCAACTCCACTGCAGGGAGGAGGGGCCTGTCCAGGCTTAACCCACCTCAGTGTTCATTTCTGCTCTGAACCTTGGAGGCCCAACAAAACCTTCTGAAAATCATCCTTTCAGCACAGGAAAGAGGTTGACGCTGCATCCCACTGAGAGTGTTAAAAGTTAATTGCTATTTTATTCACCTCAAATAGTCTGGTTGGTTGCTTGTTGCATATCATGTGGCGGCAATGGAAGTATCTTTTCCATTTCCTGCAGAAAAGACGAATTTTGTCACTCATCATCAGGAGATATTTAAAAAGCCAAAAGATCCCATTGGAGAGTCTTGACAATGTCCTTCAGAGCTTTCTTCTCACAGTAAATTACTCACAAGAACCAATAACATTTAATATTAGGGCAAACACAACCTTCTCCACAGTAGCCAGTCCCAGGGTTTAGAAAGAGGGAATGGTCACTCTGTTCTACAGATTGTGCATTACCACAATGTTAGCCCCAGCTCAGCTTTTCTTATTTGAAAGCATGAAGTGGCATCTGCACAGCCATTCAAGTCATGCAGCAACAGATGCAGCTTTACAAAAGACAACAGCTTGAGAGAGATCAACATTGAGGTTCTAACAAGAAATAAAGAAGAAAGCTGAAATTCTTCTCATGCCATTTTTTTATCCCCACTTCCCTTCCAATTCCAGAGCCCCGAGGTTTGGATAAGTGTCTGCACTCCTGTCAGCAGAGAGCCAGTTCCATTCTACACGGCTTACTGGCACTAAGGCTCCAATAACCTACAGCCAAAACTGAGTACTCCTCAATAACAAGGCAAGATGGGGTTGGACCAGCCCTGCACTTGTTGCCTTTGCCTCTTTTCAAAAGCATTCAGGAAGAATTGCACACAAAACCTCAAAGCCCTCTTTCCAAAGAAATGTTGAAGAACTATGATCATAATAAAAAGAGCTGCCATAAGTAAAAGTCAGCTAAAATAGGAAGGAGTACTCAGGATGTTGGTAATTTCTCTCTGCTTTCCATTTTAGGTTTTGAGGCAAGGATCTTCCATTGCCGTTGTTTACACAAAGAAGTCCTGTTAAAACTCAGCCATTCTTGCCAATCTTTAAGCTCTCTGAGCTTTAATTCTTGAAGAAACAGCCGTCGTGTCATGTTCCACTTGGTTTAGTTGATTTTAGCATTAAAATCATTACATGATATAGCAGAAGTATAAAAAGAAGTGTAAAAGTGGTAATAAAACTGGACATAAATACCAATAGTCACAGTATGCTCAATACAACTTGGAAGAAGATGTGTATGTCCAGAAGAAATGTGGAAAGACCATGTCAAAGCACCTGTCTCTACAAGCACACCACCACTTGCAAGAGGCATCTGCACAATCTAAACCTGCCTCCAAGATAAACCCAACTTGTACTTTGTAAGGTCAACCTCCAAAAGAGAAAAAAACACACAGATTTAACAAAGCAGCTGAACTCTGTCATACTGCGTGTGTTCCTGTCATCAGAAACCAGGCATTTCCGTTTAGCTTTCCAATGTTATTTTCAGTCTTCACCACTTCCACAACTTTTGAAGAAAGAAATTCTGCTGCTAGGATGCCGAGAACTCACAGCCCACTTCAAAGCAGAACTCCAGGAAACCACAGCGCAGGTTTTGTAGCATTTGGAGTTTCCATGAAAAGGCTGAGTTCAATGAACAATCATGGAATCATTGAGATTTGACTGACGTGTTTCAGTAAAATTAGTCTGCAATAAATGTGTGACAGGTTTCTGTCTTCAGCATGCAGTCTTGAAAACCTGCTGGTGGAAGCAGTGGTGCTCAGTCAACTGTCATTTTACTAGAAATCAGATGGAAAGAAAGAAAATCCATTCCCTGTGGCTTTCTAGTGCCTGGCTCTACTTTTTAACTAGCTTCTCTCAACAGCAATCTATTCCACTTTTCTTTGTTCTTGATTGGTTTTGCAATACTTAGAGGGAGAATTGCTAAAAATCAATGTAGTTTTAGGCAAGGTTCAAGCAGCACAGGTTCTGGATGTTACTGCTGTTGTCTTTTAAACCTAGAGTTACAACATAATGTAATGGCAGAAAGAAAAAGAAGTCTTGATTTTTCATGACCATACAGCAAGGATTATGGTAGAACAGTAATGTAGAGCAGTGCCTTCATGTATCAAGTGCCCAGTTTCAAAGCTCCCTTTTCACAAGGTACAAGAGCACAATTAACTATTTCAGAACACTGTCAAAGAAGGGTGTTCCCATAAGATAAGCCACCACAAGAGGAATTTGACAGAAGCATAGATGGCATAAAGAAAAGCACTAAGCTTTGGCCTAACAGAGGTGAAGATTTGGAATTAGGACACCAGACAAAACTCCACTGTAGAGACTGTGGATAAGGAAAATCACTGCTTACATGGCTTCTAGCCCAAGATGTGGGGACAGCTGTGACCACCCTGTGGATACCCCAGTTTTGGACAGTATAATGGTGGTACCTCCCTAGCGACTTGGGGACCCCCAGCACTGCGAAGACGATGGGTGAAGAAGGACCAGCTGGACAACAGAGAGTCCATGTGGTGATGATAACTTGCTACTTACTGTCTCTCTCTTCCCCTTACCCTGCCTCTCTTCTCTTATTTCTTTCTATCTCCCTAGTTTGCATTTACTGTTAAATAAAGTTTTTGCTATTGACTATGGAAAAGGATGGCATTTGCACCTTAATTCAGGCAGAAGCTCCTCTTAATAACCAAATCTTTACACCACAGTTACCCACGCAGGAATCAGGAAAACCAGCAGATTATTACCTTCATTGAAATCCAGGGGACAAAACTGCTGCAGCTTCCCCAACTTGTTTTTCTTCCTGTTTGAATTAGGGCTCTCCTTCTTCACTCTGGCAGTGAAATAGAGATTTTTGGAGTTCACTTAAATTAACAGAATTAATTAAGCATTTATATTTTAGCTTGTAGAGTTATGGGTTGAATTTTAGCCTTTTACTTAGGAAACCTCTGCCATGGTACAAAGAGCATAGGAAAATGCAAATTTCTGAAGCTTCTTGCATAAACAGTAATACCTAGGATGCAAAGAACCCAGATAAAGAAGCCCCTCTGTCTCCAAGCATATCAAGACTGAAAGACTACTCAGATAAGCACCAAGGACCAAAAGCACACACGCAAAGGAGAAAAGTTCAAAAGTTCTACCACAAGGAAGACTACAATCTTCAGCCTCAAGAGACCACCACCAGAGACCCCCACAGGATCACCATGGCAAACCACGCATGCCTAGAAGGGCATGGACTTATCTAGCATGAGAGGCAAAGACAGATGGGGCCAGGGGTTGAATATGCATAGAAAAGTTGTGTAATCTATTGAATATAGAACACATTTGTGAATAAAGGTGTCGGTCAGACTGAGGCTCGGTTCACAAGTTTTTGGAGAGATATCTCACTTGTGCTGGGCACCAACAGTACATACCCACTTCATAACTACCCTAGGTTGTGGAGCCTATTTATTCTGCATATCACTTCAGCAGGCTCTGGGATGCTGGAACTCTGAAATTTCTCTGTTTGTTGCACAGGTGCAGGGGGAAATGGAGCCGACACTCGGAGGCATGTCCATAGTGAAGAGGGATGTGGAAGGCAGAAGCAAGGAAGAAAAGTGGCCATCAGCTGCTACCTGGACAAGGCTGTGCTGGTGACCAATTCTCCTCTTCTTGCTCATCACAGAACTGGTAAAGTCAGAAGCCAGAGGCTGTTTCTGCAACAGTAAGAACATAATTAATTCATTAACCTATGATCAGGATCAGCTTTTGTTCCCATTCTGAAAAAACAGCATTTCTGAACTGGCCAAGATTGAAAACACATATTTCTTAACCAAAAAGAGCACTCAAATCAGGAAGTACTGCAGGTAAATACAGGCTCTATCTCATTGCTACTTTCTCATCTTAGCACTTTGCAAGTCCTACTTCAAGTCTGTAGATGAAATGCTTTGGGAGAAAGATACTCACATCAGGAGCTCCATCAAAGGCTTTCCCAAAAGGGAACATCCTGTACATTCACATGACAGCTTTTACACCACCAGCAAGTCTGCTAAAATTTACTCTACAGTCCTGAATGTTAAAAATGCATAAAATACCTGAGCAGGACTTGCTAGAGCGCCTCTCTCAGAAGGTCCCAGAGATGTCATTTGGCTGGTGTTGGTTCTTTCTGGGGTGGAGCTGATTTTCTGTAAGGATGGTCCAATATTTCAAGTTACAAGGCATAAATATCAACAGTAAAAATTCTTTCCTTGCAGGGAAAAACAGACCTTCAGTGGCAGGACTCAAGGAAACAGCATGAAGCTGAGTTGAGGGAGCTTTAGGCAGGATATCAGGAAAACATTCATGCCCCAGAGGATGCTTGAGCATTGCAACAGGTTCCCCAGGCCAGTGGTCACTGCAGCAAGTCTTCAGGAAGTGTTTGGACAGCACTCTTGGGCACCTGGTGTGATTATTGTGGTGGCCTGTGCAGAGTGTGCAGGGCCAGGATACTGGCAGGTCCCTGCTACCTCAGCATATTGTAAGATCCTAGACTTTCTTCTAAAAAAGCTTTCCCTCCCTGAAAGACTGAACTTACCTAGAAAGTATTAACTTCAAATTTTGTTTGTCTATTTCAGTGTAGCCAGGCCAATCAATCTGAAGGGTTTGAAACAGATATTCCTTCAGACTGAAGGAATTATCTTTTGGATTCCAGTTGGCTGCATATAGGCAGACATTTCAGACAAGAAATGTTCATTATGGTTGCTGTATGCAAACTACAGAAATATGATTGGTCACAAACAGTTGTTTGTGAGCACACAATTTGAACTAAACAATATCTTTTTGTACAGAGCTTAATTATTTCTCTATCACGTGAATTTTAAATGTTTCACTAATTGGAAACAACCAAGTATCTCCATTCATATCTAGCAAGAGTTGATTTGAAAACAACATTTAGTGCTAGAATGTGTAAAGAGACGTGGTCAGGCCCACAGTCCCACTTCATGTGGCAGGGCCAGGGTTCATTCCAGTAAAGTCCTGCCATGAAAAGGCCATGCACATTCCTTGCTGTATTCCTTCAAAAAGAAATTAGGCTCGTATCTTGCTCAAGACAAATATAAAGTCTACACAAAATTGTAAAATGAGGTAGTAAAACCTCAAGACCACTGATATCAGAAGAGCTTGTTTAGACTTCATCACCTGACACCTGCTCAGAGTTCCAAAGAGAAGCCCATTGGGAAAGTCTCCATCAATTTGCCCTCTGCAACACACTGAATAACTCAACCACACACCACTACCATCAGTCACAACTTTTACTTTTTTTTTCTCCTTGAAATCATAAACATTGATAATTTGAGTCTGTGTTGATGTGTGTTTCCACAGCTGAAAAAAAATGTTAAAGTAACAAAGATACCCAAAATTGGGAATTCACTTCTTCAAAACAGAACTCAGGTTGTGTTGGAAGGGAAGCAAGTATGTGTGTACCGGATCTCAGTAAGCTCTCACTGCCCATTTGAGATTTATACAAAATCAACCCCCACTTGCTCTGACGTCCAGAAAAGCCTGAGCAAGGCATTTCAGGATGCAGGGCTGCTCAGGCAGCCCTTTCAGAATGCAAACCAGGAGGCTGAGGCAGTTCACACCTCATACAGCACATTGCCTCCAGGGAAATCTCCTCAAACATTGCAATGGAACAGGAGAAAATATTTTCATCCTTTACCTTCTAAGGAACTGAGCATTGAAACTTTATAATCAACTTGAAATCTAAATGAGTTACTTCAGTTGAGATGGCAGAACATGTCTCTCATTATATTGCTAATGTCTTCAGGGTGAAAAGACCCCGCCACTGCCCTGGGCAAACCCAGCAACAAACCTGATAGGTTCAGGAATGAGTTTTTAAAAGTCACTATGGGATCAATTGAAAATTCCATGTGGAATTTTCCTCCCTTGACTAGGTTCAGCAACAACCTAGAGGAACAGGTAATATTGAAAAAGGAAGGAAAGAACCACTGCATCTTTCAATGGGTGTGCATCCTATTACAGGTTGTAATAAAGAAATTACAGTGGAATTCAGAGGAGCACTGGAGTAGTTACTGAATAATATAGGTCCAAGGGAGATAGAGATTTAATTCATGTGACAGCAAAGAAACTCTCTGCTCAAAGTTTGGCTACCATCTTTATCACGGAGGATTTGCCAAGAACACCCTTCCCTGGAAGGCAATCCTCACAGATCCCAGCAGAAGCCAAGTACTATTGAGAGGCACCAGCTTTGTTCAAATTAAATACTGGCCTCTGCAGTTACGGAATGTCTCTCCTCTGAAACTTATCCCAGGAAATTGTAAGTGCTATGACAAACCATTTCACACAGTCAAGGAACCCCTGTGAAGTTACTCCATGAAGTAGTTAAACAGTGTACAGAAATGAAAGGGAATGGAATAAGGCATGAGTAGCAACAACATTACAAAGTGTTATTCATTGTGTTATAAATGAAAATTTGTCCAACCAAATTAATATGAAAAATAAAATATTTATTTTGCAATCAAATTTTATCTAGCCAGCCACAAGGAAAGAACAGAGCCGAGCCCGGGGTTGGCCCTGGGTGTGCAACAAGGAGTCAGCCTCAGCAGAGGTTTTCCTCCATGCCCACACCCTTCCATCCTGGCACAAGTAGTTTTTACAGGGAAAATTCCGCCTGAGGCCAAGATTTCAGCAATCAGTCTTTTCTTCTATTCAGAGTCCATATGTTAAAAAGATTTTCTTTTTTGGTGATGAGGGAGAACAATTCAGTGTCTGGAGTTTGTTGAATCCCTTGATGAAATTTACAGGAATTTGGGAACACTGTATTCACATGTATCTGCCTGAGGATTTCTATGATATCCATCTTGGGTCGTTCACACGAACGATCAGCACCTGGGGTTTCTGTATCTCCCCAGACATGGCCCATCTCCTGGCCCCTTTGAAAGCATCTCATTTTCCCCATTTCCAAGTGCGCTCACATCAACCAGCCAATTGTAGGGCTTTAGAGAAGGAAGAATGACAGGGTAGCACGGAAAGCCGAGCGTAGGCCCTCAGGCCCCCTTGAGCGGGGCGCTTTGGTGCCCCAGAGGTTTAAGAGAGGGAAGCGTAAGGAAGACGCGCCCTTTCGACCCTCCTTTACTCCTCAGTACCAAGTGACCGTCAGGAACGGGGGACAGCCAGGCCAGGTCCCTCATCCTGGCCCGGCATGAGGGGCAGCTGGCACGGAGGGACACAAAGGCATGGGGGACAACATCTCCGCAAGGCAGGTGGGGGGTGTGGGGCAGCTGTCGGGGAAGGTGTGTGGGGCAGGCCAGGGCCTCTCTGTGAAGGGGGAGAGCCTTGGGCCGCTCGGAAGCAGCGCAAAGCCATGAACGGGAGAGCCCGTCCGCAGCGCACAGCTTGGAAGGCACTGACCAGCTTAGGCACAGCGTGACACGCAAGGGAACATTCCAGAGCTCTGGAGGCTTTAGAGGTTTTATTGCCAGTCGTGCTGAAAGCAAGAGCCGGAACAGAGCATCTCCTGGTTACTTCACCATCTTCATCTTCCTCATTCTGTCCTCCAGGTGGCCAGTTCAGGCAGACAACTCGTGGGACATGCCTGCTCCAGATCTGCTGAATCCCACATTCTTCTTTGATAGCTCAATTCTTCTGATGACAATTCATTCATTTCTCCTTAAAGGATCATTCTGAGCTTCTCTACATCAACACTACTCTACTCTTATCTAAACAATGCTTCATGAATGAAGCTTTCTATGCTCTCTAGTCCTAACTAAAGACAGCTAAGCTAAGAAAACCTCAAAACATTACATTTCCACATGAGGAGCACAGCTCCTCATAAAACTCAGGGGATGGCTGAAGCTCTGCCTATGCACGATCCATCCCCGTTTCCCTCCTCTGAGCTGGCAGGGCACGAGGGCCTCCTCAGGCGCAGGCGTCTGCGCTCCTGTTTCCCTGCGCTTGCTTTCCCCACTTGCGGTAAGCAAAGCTGCTTACCTCAGCGTGTTCTTTGGGCTTCTGCAAGGGACTCTCCAGCTTAGCTACAGCATGGCACGGAAGGGAGTCTTCCAAAGCTCTGCCTATGTCAGAGTTTTATTGCCACTCCGGCTGAAACAAAGTGTCCCCTCACTACTTCTGCATCTTTATCATTCTGCCCTGCAGCTGGCCTGATCAGGCTGACAGCTTGCAGCGCCTGCACAGTGCACTTCTGCTGCATCACAGCTTTTCCTCTCCAGTGCAGTTTTCCCTTTCATTTCAATTTGCCCCCAACAGAAAAAAGCTGAAGCATAGAGCAGCTCATTCCAGCTGCACAGAAGCTGCACCTTTCCATGTCACTGAATTTCTGGTGGTTTCAAATGATCAAATGGCCTATTTGTTGTAATTAGACCAGGGTGGGGGGCACTCTTTCTGCCACTTTACAAAATATTGTTTCTGGAATGATGAAATTGGCCTTCCTGGAAAGGTTATGACCTTCTGTAAAGGACAAGAGGCCAATAAATACAGAAGAAAATTCATTTAGGACTCAGCAAAAGCAGAACTGCTGATTAAATATTTTTAAAGAAGTGTCTGTTCTCAATCCAAATTTTAGTGGTCACTGTTATTACTACCCTAAGTGCTTACTAGCACACATTTCACCCAAAAAGATCTATACAGAATAAATTAAATTATGGTTGCACAGCACAGCCGATAGTCAAAACCAGTGTTATATCATGCCTCAAGTGAGTATACCTGAGGATACACTACTTTTCACCAAAGCAAAGTCACCCAAGAGAGGGCAAACATAATACCTAAGTCACAAGGCTGGCAGTTTTCATGTGACCTTTTAAAAAAATTGTGAGTTTTGAAAAGTTTTCTAAGTTTTTGCCAGGGCTATAACCCACATTTTCCAGGAGGGTGTTGAGAATTGGGAATAATTTCTACCAATAGCCCTTTCTCTTCACAGATCACAACTGGGCTCCAGAGCACAGGTAAGGAAAGTGCCATAAAAACCAGCTCAGGCCAAACAAGAAATTCTGGTACTATTTTGAGGACTTGCCACTGTGGATGTACATCTTAACCACAGAATCACAGGAGGGTTTGGGTTGGAAGGAACATTCAGGATCAAGCAGTTCCGACCTCCTGCCATCTGCAAGGACACCTTCCGCTAGACCATTATTATTTTATAATATTAAAATAAATAAATAAATAAATATGTAATTATAATTTTGTTTTAAAATATCCAGCCTCAAATAACAACAACAATAATAATGATGATGATGATGATTATGATGATGATGTTTTAAAATCCCCAGCCTCAAACCTCAGCACTGCCTGTCTTCAGAAACACAGATATGTTTTACACCACTGATTGCAATGACCTAAAAACATAATTTCATCAAGTGACTGGCTGCCTTCTGATGTTAATCTCTCATATTGCACACAGAATGTAATGTTTTGACAGCTGTAATTAAAACCCAGGCAGCATTTTTAAACATGGCATTTAAGACTGCATCAAGTATATTTTCCCTGCATGGGTAACAACAGCCTAAGTGCAAGAAGCATGGAAGGAGCCAGTTAATATTTTTCCATGGGTGCACATCTTATTAACTCCATTGTGCCCACCCACCTCTTCCTCTTAAGCCTCTCTCCCATCTCCACACTTTCCCTTCATCATTATCTTTTTTCATGTCATTTCTCCCTAGTAAAATGATCCACACTGTTTTTTTTTTAATAACAGTTAAAATTATTCTTAGTTTTTGCATCAAGAATCAGTTAAGTTTTGAAAATGTAATTAAGAACTAAAACAGATCCAATTAAAACATTACTAACTCTAGATGAAGTTTATCTACACTGACCTATGTCACATATCATCTAGTCTCCCTTTGTAATTATTCCTACACTTTTTTATTAGTTAGAAAATTAGGATCCTCTTATCCTAACACTTTGCCAACAAAACTAAGGAATAGAATTCATTAATTATCAACTAATAACTGTTATCAGTTAAATAACCTTAACAAGCTATCACAGAAAGGATTTCTACTCTGAAATCTTCTACTCTGAGAAAGAAAGGATTCTTTTCTCTTAGAGAAAAGGATTTTCTCTAACTGGATAGAGAAAAAGGAATTACTTGCACTTAGCGACGTTAACCAATTATTCTGATTACATCTTTCAATATTTTCATCTTCATGCCCATATATTCAATTTTTCATATTTCAATTGATTCATTTGAAACAAGAAACTAAATATCAGACTTCCTTCTGTTTTCAAGTCTCAGTACATTTCTGAACTCTGAATGAGTTAAATATTTAAATGAAAAACACTGGATAAACTTGACACAAAAACACATCTCCCAGTGACCTTTATAAAAAACTGAGTTCATTTTCCAACACACTCACTTATGATTAATTTTAGCAATTCAGCTCATTAAATCTTGGACAGCAATAAATACATACTAATACATTCATCATATTTAAAAATAAGTGTTTATTTGACAATCTAAAATAAGTGAGAGACACATTAAGCAAAGCTGAACAACTTTTGGTATTTTTTAGTTTTGAAAAGAGGATCTTAAATAAACTATTTCAAATGGACAGGACCTACAACAACCATCTAGTCCAACTGCCTGACCACTTCAGGGCTGAACAAAAATTAAATTAAAGGAATTTTCCAAATGCCTCTTAAGCCCTGACCAACCTGAGGCAGCGACCACCTCTCTGAAAAGCCACTGCAGTTGCTTAAGCTTTATATTGAAAAGCAGATGAACTAAAATGAACAGATTCATTTTCACAAGGAATTCCTGGTAAAAAAACTGGGAAGGAACAGCTTATTCCCATCAAAGAATGACTTACCTCTAACAGTCTCAATCAGCTTGGGTCTGGGCGGTTTAGATTTGGGAGAGGGAGAGTTAAGGTAAGGTCCTTTTTTAAGCGTGCTCCAGTGGCCCTGGTAAATTGGTTTTCCATAAACTAGAGACAGATAATCTTCATATTGGGTCAGTGTAATTCCACCTACAGCTCCCTGATGGACACCAAAAAGGAAAAAAACAAGTCATTTACAATTCTTCATTTATGTAAATTGGAGCAGGACAAAGCTATCACTTTCATTTTGAATTAGTACACCTGCACATACCATTTTTCATGTCCATACTGAACAGTTTTTTCCCAGAAAATAAACCAACTACTTGGCAACTCACATCTGCCCTTCTTTCTTTGCTCTTCACATTTTCAGAAAAGTAAGTTCTAAACTTCTGTTTCCTTGTGTTATCTTCTACTTCCTTCTGCAATGGCTTAGCTGCAGGTAAAAGCTTTTTTGTCAAGCACCCTTGGTTGTTTTGAGTTTTCTCTTTAGTTTCTTTCTTGGTCTTCACAGCCCTGAGGTTTTGGGCTCTCTTGGTACATTTTTGATCATGTTTCCCTCGTTCTGAATAATTTCTTGCCATTTCAGCCTAAATAGAAAACATAAATGCAATAAATAAATGGAGATTTTTGTCTTCAAGGTTATCAGCAATGCATGGTAACTTTGAAGCTCTGAGAAAGGGCCTGTTTTTCATGTTAGCCAGCAAGTGAGACCAGGGGTTTTCATTACATAACTACAGTTTTAAAACACAGGTAAATATTTTATTTTTAATTTATTTATTATTTTAAAAATTTTTTATATTTATTTTACTATAGCTTACTGCATGCTAGCAATAATAGGCAGCTTTCTCATGTTTTCAGGAGGTGAGTAAATCACTTTACTGTGGACATGAAAGAACAAGGTCAAGGTGGAAAAACCCAACACAAAAATCTGAACTCATCTTTCCAGCCCTATCTGGATTTCCTCACTGATTTCCTTGATCCTCTCATCCACAGTCCTTCGGATACAAATCTCTTCCAGGACATCTCTGAAACAGAAGAAAGAACCATTTTAGGTCAATGCTTCTCAAATTGCACAGATTTGTTCCTGGGAAAGTAGTGACCTTTAAATGCTCTAAAAACAGAAGCCCAGAACACAGACAGTGAGATTCTGCACCTCTGCACTCCCCAAAACGCACCAAAGCTCATCGAGAGTCCCAATCCCAAATCTGCTCCTGCATGGTGCCACCTGCAAACCCCACTCCCTGCTGGTAAATCCTGACAGCATTACAAATATTTTAGGAATAAGAGGCAGCCATGTGTCACCTCCTACTTTGATCACAACTGAAAAAACAAGAAAACAAAAATATTCCACCTTAACAAAAAAGCAGATGACAAATTATTACATCCTCTAAAAGATAATGAGGGCAGGTAACATGCCTCAAAAAAAAACCCTTATGCATACAGAATAGCTACCTTCCTCAGGAAAATGCAAATTTATATTGTATTTTTTAATAGAAAATTTCCATTATGATTCAAGCAGGAGTATTTAACACAACGAACAAAGCAAAAGTTCAACAGCCAAAGATCTGTTGCAAGATGATTAAATTCTGTACATTTACAGGTTTATGAAGCCTCTTCTGCTCTGAATAATTAAATTACGGTTCAATTTTCTTTTAAATGCATGTTGGTATGGAAACAGTTAAACGCCCTGGCAGCAGAGCAGATTGTCCAGCTGTTAAAACCCAAGAAATCAGATTTAGGCATCTGACAAAAATCAGTTCATACCATGAGGGTCGAAAAAATCTGAATTTCAAGAATCAGACAACGATTGCTAGCAAGAGTCAATAAATCCTTTTTGCAGGGAAGAACATAAGTTCTTCAATGCCCAGATTTGGAAACATCAATCTCACAAAGCACTGAATTGTAGACTCTGACCTGTTTGTAGTCAAGGAGTTACTGAAAGCATACATGGCATCTCCATCTTTTGCATGACTAACAGCTTCCAGATTCTCCTCAAGGACTTTTTTATTGTTTTGCACTCCTCTCAAAATCCTTTCAGCATCTGTCAGTATAGACCTTGGCACTTGGATATTTTGAAGGATGGATGGTTTGCTGACTAGATGATGTTCAGGAGGATCAGGTGCAACAGGAGGATTTTTTGCCTAAAATTGAAAGAGAACCTCTAGCTTTTAATCAGAGATTGTAATTTCCTATTAATCTATTATCACATCAATGCCATCATATGAAATACTGCCCATGTGCACTATCAGCAACTTAATTACTCAAGAATGTTCATAATGCTGCAAATATATTTAGAGAAGTGAAAGATATCCAAAAGATCTCAAATGGAAAATGATGTCAAATATGAGAGGCAATGCTAATGAGGCTAATAAGCATGTGAAAAGATGGCAATTAGAGACATGAAGTATCACAAGCAAATCTCTCCATGTAACAGTAATTAACTATAATTAAGAGCCTAATAAAAGCCCAAGTCCTCTAAATATATGCATTTGTTTGGCATCAATCTACCCTCAAGAAACACCAAGCAAAACTTATAAGTTTTAACACGATAAATCCCTCAGCAGCCCCTTGATCCTTTTTTACTTTTACTCATTTTCACTTTTCAGAAGGAACAATGAAACCTCTCACTTTGCAGAACCCTTTTACAGAGATAAAAATCGAGCATAAATTAGCTGCTAAGTACAAAAGAAAGGGACACAAACACAGGAAACAAGTTCTTACATTCATTCTCACACTCCTGAGAAAAAACCCAGAGGCCCATGAAAGCTTCATCAAACAGTAAAAAAATTCAAAGTGATAAATGTACTTTTAAAAAAAACCAACAAAAAACACCTCAAACCAAAACCAAAATGCCCAGATGTGAGTAGACTCTGAAAACATCAACTGAAAGAACAGGGAAAAAAATCTCACAGATCACAACTTAGTTTTGGCTTTAAGGTTACTTTTTTGTCAAATCATAATTAAACAAAAGTTTATGTTCAAAGCAATATACCAAGTTATTTATCAATTTTATATAGGCTTTCATTTTAAAATGAAACTTTTTGACAAATACTAACTCAGTAAGACAGGTAAAATCTGTGAGAAAAGGTAAGAAACACAGATGTATAATTGATTGCAAAATGGTGTGGACTTGCTAGTGAGACCCAGATCATGAAATGGTACCTGGATCTGTTAAATATGTAAAAAATGCTGGTAGCAGCAGCCCACACTGTGCCAATCTGACACTGCCTGACATTGTCTCCTGCAGGGATTTCCTAGGACATAACCAGACAGGAGTAATGTGATCTCTCCAAGAGCAATCCTTTAACAAACATCCAGGTGTGCCACAGGCAGGCCCTGAGATTTCATTGCAAACACACCCAAAACTGCTTCAGCATTTGAGTATTTTATAGAAAGCTCAAAACCCCACAAAAGAAACACACATAAAAAAATCAAGGTATACCTTAATAAGATCATTCATGTCAGATTTCCATGTAGTTGCTTCCTAAAAAGACAGAAGAAGAGCTATTGAAACTTTAAGGTAAAATCCATAGGAGATATTGGATCAGTTCCTCTGGCCACAATTAATTCCTTGGGTTAGAGCACCACCTTCTGTCTCAGCTCATTCACACCTTTGCTTTATTACAGAGCTGGTTTAGAATTTACCCAAAAATGTATCATTATCTTACTTTCAAACCTCTCAGTGATGAGGAGTCAGTAGCTAAGTGTTTAATTGACCCAACTCTCCATTTGTTAAGTCATCACATCTCTGTCTTTCTACTGGCCTTTTTCATAAGAGAGATTTCAAATAATTTCTGTAACTGTGTCTCCCATTCCTTATCCCATCTCATCTTGCTCTGTTGCCTGTACTAAGGTATGTGACTTACTTAAGTTTTTAGCAGTGGTAAGAAAATATTTGCAACCTTAGTGGGGCACAAGGAACCTGTTCCATTCCTAGTAAGAATAGTTAAATGTAAAATCCACAAAGTGTTATAAAATCTATAAAAAATACATCATGCTATATGACAGATGAGGCTGACTTTTCTACAGATACAGCAACAAAATCCAGACAGGTAATACAAAATATTTTTTTAGGGAAATATGCAAGTTGAAACTTCCAACCACAGAAATGAATCAGCAGAATCAAAGTTATTAAATTTCAAGCCAATTCACAGAGGTGAATTTTCAAGCTTTTCTCCTTTCTCACTGTGTATATCGACAAGGACAGAAAGGACCACAGCACACAGGTGGAGCCAGGAATGGCACCAGGGTAATAAATAAAAGCCTCAGTTGCCACAAGCTCAGAAGCAGATCTTGCACCCTCAAAGGAACAAAATCAGTAGCACAAGAAACAGCACAAGGATTCTGTGCCAGGTACTTCCTTGGAAACAGCACTCAATACAAAAAAAAAAGTGGCAAAATGAGAAAGGAAATGCTTAAATCAGCCCTAAAGCTGACTGGAGATAAATGGAACATTTTTTTTTTTCCCAAATGGGAAAATTATATCAGCTCTGTAGTTCTGCAGAGAACAGGGACTGAAAATATCCAAAACCTTAAAACAAACAAATAAACTTTTTTTTTTTCTCTTTCTGTCCTTCCCTGTCTCTCACCTATTTTATGTCTGGGACAATGGCAGTCAGAGTCCATTGCACACCCAGAGCTTTATTCAGACTCCAAACTCTTCCACACGCAGAGACTCCAATATTTTAATTAATTGTAAACAGATGTGGATAATTTTACAGGTATAGAAGCAAGAGCAACACTATTAATATCAGACCTGTACATTTTTTTCCACATTTTTATTCCCCTTCTTCAAACCCCACCTCATTGTGATTAGACCGACTTTACCTGCAGAATGTTGTGCATTTCTCTTCTCAACTTGCCAAGATCTTGAAGTAAATTATCTGCTTTTTGCACTGTTTTCTCAATTGAACTGTAGCTTTCAAAAGAAGAAACTGCATCTGGAGGCAAAGCTTTGTGTCTGAGGGGAGAAACACTCCTGGTTACACCTCTCGTGGCTCCTGAGGCGCCCCAAGAAAGGATTCAACTGTGAAACCAAGCAGGAATTTACAGTGCAAGTACCAAAGCTTTAGATAAACTGGAACTTGCTTTGGCATCTGAAGTAATAGAGAGGTTATTGAGTTTTCTGTGTTTACCACTTAACACCTTCAGCCCAATCCTTTTTATTTTCAATAGTGAAATTACATCTAATAGAGCAACATTTAAACTCTGGATATCTTTCCATTTTAAGCAATTAAGATCTTTCTGCACACTGTTCTAAATTAGACAGCGTATATGAGAAGTTTCTCACTGTATTAATGAAATTATAACTTTAAATTACTGCCTGGGGAAATATGCTTCAGAGTGCATGGCTAAGAACATTTTTTCACCCATTTTAAATCTTAGGGATTGTTAGGTGGCTGCTGCTCCTGTAAAACACTCCAAATGCAACTTGCTGACCTCTGAGAAAGGTGTTGTGAGCTATCCTTAGCAAAAAGGATAGACTTCATCTGCCTTTCAACAGAAATCTGCAATTCAACAGAACCACAGAATCCTGGAATATTAGAGCTGTAAGGGACCCAAAGGATCAGAGTCCAACTCCTGGCCCTGCACAGACACCCCAACAATGCCACCCTGTCCCTGAGAGTGTTGTCCAAACTCTCTGAACTCTGTCAAGCTTGGGGCTGTGCCCATTCCCTGGGGAGCCTGGGCAGTGCCCAGCACCTCTGGGGGAAAAAAACCTTTTCCTGATATCCAACCTAAACCTGCCCTGGCACAGCTCCACCTGTTCCCTTGGGTCCTGCCAAAAGTAATGCCAACAGAAATACTCCTGCACAGCTGTGCCAGGCTGCAGGGCCACACCAGTGACTGTTACAGCATCAGTGTCTAATGCACCTCTCCCAGTTTCATGGAAACACAAACTTCTCCTCAGTTTTGGATTGTTGTGTTTATCCACCTGTGTCTCTCAGAATGCCAGCTCCTTTCATTGCTGTTTAATGCTGCCTTCTTGGAATATTCTACTTGCTTCAGTGGTGTTTCTTGAGAATTCAAAACATGTTCCAGACCTTTCCCTTCACCTACAATGAAGTGAAATTAAGCAGAAAAAAAAAGAAAGGTGAGTTAGTTCAATATATTTAATATTTTCTTTTCCTTTCCAGGTATTTCAATATACTCACCAAGAAAAGTAAAATATTTTTAAAATTTAAATATACAGACTTGTTTCAGATAAGGCAAGTCACTTAAAACCACACACACTAGTATGTCTTTCTGAGATTGCTTTAAATTAGCAAAGCTAGATGGAACTGGGATAGCAATGAACTGAGTCATTGAGTACAAATCTGTGACATTATGGGCAGCATGCTTCTTCTTTTGTCTTATTTCATTTATTCCTGGACCCACTGAACAATAGGAATACCTGACAACTTTGTAACAGAGATAGAAACTGATCAGAAGCAGTAAAAGAAAATTACTTTACATTTGTTTTACATCTGCTGCTTTCAATATAATAACCCAGAGACCTTGTGGACCCATGAAAAAAATAAAATAAAAATTCAATTTAACCAATGATAATGACAAAGTTATTGAGTAGTTCCCATGTTTTACATTACTCTGTTAAATCTTCCTGAAACTTGACTTTGAAAAAATATTTCAGTGAGTAGTCCTGTTGAAACTCTAGAGATTAAATCAGCACTGTCTTTAAGTTTTAGTTACTTATGAGTAAGTGACTTATACACAAAACTAACCCTTCCCAAATGTAGATTCCAAATATTCTGAATAGATGCATTTAAGTGCCAGCAACCCAAGGGAAAAGGTCAGAAAAGGTGAGGAATACACAAAGTAACCACCAGGCCATACTAGTTAGGCCAGTGGAGGGCAATAGCTTCTCTTGTAGGTTTGGAAATATTTTCTTTTTCTACTACAGAGTTTTCTTTCTCTGAGATTTTCCCATT